CACTGATTTCTTGAAGGCATTAAGTAACATAATACAAATGAAGTGCTTAAATTGTGCTTTGCATAAATTAAGTACTGGATACATGTTACTTCTTGTTTTGTAATTTATATGGCAAGACCTATATCCAAAACCATTAGGGAATGATACAAAACAGTGTATAAATAAATGACAATTCTTGTGGTTCAGAACTATCATGGAACATACAGAAAATATTCTTTGAGGGAAGTGAGAGTTGAAGAACCTTCTCTATTTTCCAAGAACCCCCCTGACCCCAGAAAGAGGTATAGTCCCCTTATTTGGTGTTTTCTTCTGCTGTCGTAGAATAAGACCAGGGTTGTTAAATCTCATGGCTTACAGAATATTATTGTTGATATTTAGTGAAAAGTCACTACTTCAGCAGAGTGATAACTTCCCTCATCAGACTGATCATAGACCCTGAACACTTGGGTTGAATCCATGGACATAAGCTCCATTTGGGGTGCATATTTGTTTGCTAAAGTTGCCAGAACAAAGTGCCACAAACAGAGTGGTATAAACAGAAATTGGCGGTCTCATACTTCTGGAGCTGAAAAATCTGAGATCAAGGCATCAGCAGGGCCATGTTCCCTCAGAAGGCACTAGGGAAGCATCTGCTCCTGGCCTTTCTCCTGCTTTGGGGAGTTCTTTGGCTGTGGCAGCAGGACCCCCATACTCACATGGTATTCTTCTATGCACATGTCTGTCTCTGAGTCCAAAATTTCCCTTTTTATAAAGACATCAGTTATATTGGACTAGAAGCTCAACCTCTCCAGTATGACCTCATCTTAACTAATTACATCTGCAGTGACAATATTTCCAAATAAGGTCACATTCTGAGTTGCTAGAGGTTAGAACTCCAATGTAAGAATTTTGTGGGGGAGGGCAACACAATCCCACCCATAACTGGGTGGGTCTTCTTCTTTGTTGCCAATGGAGGCAGAAAGAAGCTGCTAGTTCCTGTGTGCCAAAGTTCCTCCTTCTCCCCCTAGCTTTTTCCTTCCCCCCTTCATACAGCCATGGCTTCTTTTCAATGTATGTCCCTTTCCCTGGCAAGGGATACGACTTCTCTTCTTGACTCTCAGACAATGAAACATGCTGGGAACAGATGTCTCCAAATCTGTTTCTGCAACAGTTTTGGATTCAGATGAAGGCCCAGCCAATATCTCTGAGCTGCTTTGCGTGTGTTTTCACATACCTTGCCTCTCTGAATCCTCAAAATTCCCCTCTAGAGTAGTATGATACCTACTTTTGAGGAAAATAAAGCTAAGACATTAAGTAGCTTATCCAAAATCACACCATTCACAAGTGGTAGGGCTAGAAATACGATCCATCTGGACAGGAGTTTGTCTTATCTTTGTGATTCCAGAAACTGAGACAGTATCAGCAGCTCTTCTCATTCCAAACCTTTCCACTGCGCTTCTCTGCTTTACCAGTCACTGTGCCAATGAATGGAAGTGACTGTGCTCTTAGAGGTTGAGCATCTAGTTACCCAGGTGTCACAAATTGGTCTCATCCCACCGCGTATATACATAGTTGTGCCAAGCTAACTATTGGAATTTTCAAAACCCCTAAATCAATATGGCCTGGGTTCACTTGAGTGTCCTGTTGATCAAATACCCAAAGAAATGAAAAAAATTGGATGTAATCTAGTGCAACTCTCAAGTGCAAAGGAACTCTGAACAGGAGTCCTGACTCACAGTGCCTTTCCTGGGACAGCACACTCCACCTCCATGCCACCATGTTGGAAAAGTAAAAATCTCAAATCTCACAACTGTCTTAATATGCTTAGGCCCCTGGCTCTCCACCCATCCCACCCATGGGAAAGAAGAAAACACATGACCGGAATATTAGAGGCTAACAATAAATGCCCTCCCTGTCAGCTGTCAGAAAATCCAAGGTGCTTTGAGGCAGAAAGATGAACAAACACTCCCCTTTGGCAGGATACAGGCCCTGGCTTAGTAGTTGTAGTCATTAGCTCCTGCTTGGAGAAAGTGTTTCCCAGGAAGGCGACCTGTGCTGTTTGATGTTCACTGACTGATCTGGTTAGGCTCTGAATATAGGACCTCATCCTGAAATTCTAGTCTTCTAGAGAGGGGAATGGATTTGAGGAATGAATGCAATAAGAAGGAAGAATGTTCCACATGAGAAAACTGAGTACTCTCTGAGGCATGTTTTCCTTTAACAGTGCAACCAAAACTGAGGCAATTATAAGGTGAGAGGATGATTTTATTTCAATTTCCTGATTTTTTTTTTTCAGGTGTGCTTGTTCCACTTGAATTATATTTCATAAACTGACCCATTTCCTTTGTCTGTATGGGCCTAAGTCATCACCGTCATTATTGAGTCTGGAAAGTCCTAGGGCGCGGTCTTTGTCTCAGGGCTAGGTCAGGGCTAGGTCCAGAATTCAGGTCTCTTCACCCCAGTCCTGGCTCTCAGCCACTCCCCAGAGGCCTCTGCTGACACGGATACCTCACCATCAAAGACCCAATCCCACCCGCCAGGTCACTCATAGGGTTAAGCATCCTTAAAATGCATCCTCTGTCTGTGATCCTTCACAATCCCATTGCCATGATGCTTCACTCTCAAAGCTGGCATCCTGGCCTGGAGTTCAAAGAGAAAGGAATTACAGCCAGGTTCCTAAGTGTCCACAAAGAGCAAGTTCTGGAATCAAAGAACCTGATAGCCAGAACTCTGGGAGGGTGAGAAATCTGCTCTCTTCTTTTCAGAAGGAGAGCAGGAAAGTGGCTTGTCCGGGTCACTCAGCTCAAAAAGACAAACCTGGACCTAGAGCCATCCCATAGATCAGTAAATCTGGTCCTTTTCCCACCTCATCTTACTCCTTTCTTTCTGACAGGGAGAGAGGGAAAGAGCGGAGAAAGAGAGTGAATGAGAGAATGAGAATCACCTTTAAGGAAAAGGTGTTTCAGTTGGGAGTGTGGGAGTTGTGGGAGGGCCTCCCACTTCACCCTGGTTTTGAAGGATCTCTCCATCCCCTTCTCTAACCAAGTAGCTGTGGCAGAACAGTGGGGGCCTGGCTGACATCCTGGGCTTTAAAGTCCCATATCAACTTGCGTTTTTTTTTTTTTTAATTTTTATTGTTGGTTGTTCAAAACATTACATAGTTCTTGATATATCATATTTCACACTTTGATTCAAGTGGGTTATGAACTCCCATTTTTACCCCGTATACAGATTGCAGAATCACATCAGTTACACATCCATTGATTTACATATTGCCATACTCGTGTCTGTTGTATTCTGCTGCCTTTCCTATCCTCTACTATCCCCCCTCCCCTCCCCTCCCCTCCCCTCTTCTCTCTCTACCCCCTCTACTGTCATTCATTTCTCCCCCTTGTATTATTTTTCCCTTTCCCCTCACTTCCTCTTGTATGTAATTTTGTATAACCCTGAGGGTCTCCTTCCATTTCCATGCAATTTCCCTTCTCTCTCCCTTTCCCTCCCACCTCTCATCCCTGGTTAATGTTAATCTTCTTCTCATGCTCTTTGTCCCTCTGTTCTTAGTTACTCTCCTTATATCAAAGAAGACATTTGGCATTTGTTTTTTAGGGATTGGCTAGCTTCACTTAGCATAATCTGCTCTAATGCCACCCATTTCCCTGCAAATTCTATGATTTTGTCATTTTTAATGCAGAGTAATACTCCATTGTGTATAAATGCCACATTTTTTTTTATCCATTCGTCTATTGAAGGGCATCTGGGTTGGTTCCACAGTCTTGCTATTGTGAATTGTGCTGCTATGAACATAGATGTAGCAGTGTCCCTGTAGCATGCTCTTTTTAGGTCTTTAGGGAATAGACCGAGAAGGGGAATAGCTGGGTCAAATGGTGGCTCCATTCCCAGCTTTCCAAGAAATCTCCATACTGCTTTCCAAATTGGCTGCACCAATTTGCAGTCCCACCAGCAATGCACAAGTGTACCCTTTTCCCCACATCCTCGCCAGCACTTGTTGATGTTTGACTTCATAATGGCTGCCAATCTTACTGGAGTGAGATGGTATCTTAGGGTGGTTTTGATTTGCATTTCTCTGACTGCTAGAGATGGTGAGCATTTTTTCATGTACTTGTTGATTGATTGTATGTCCTCCTCTGAGAAGTGTCTGTTCAGGTCCTTGGCCCATTTGTTGATTGGGTTATTTGTTTTCTTATTGTCTAATTTTTTGAGTTCTTTGTATACTCTGGATATTAGGGCTCTATCTGAAGTGTGAGGAGTAAAGATTTGTTCCCAGGGTGTAGGCTCCCTATTTACCTCTCTTATTGTTTCTTTTGCTGAGAAAAAACTTTTTAGTTTGAGTAAGTCCCATTTATTGATTCTAGTTATTAACTCTTGTGCTATGGGTGTCCTATTGAGGAATTTGGAGCCCCACCCCACAGTATGTAGATCGTAGCTAACTTTTTTTTCCATCAGACGCCGTGTCTCTGATTTGATATCAAGCTCCTTGATCCATTTTGCGTTTTATAGGGACTTTATTAATTATCACTAATAACAGAAAACCCAAAGCTGTGCCCATTTGATAATTCGGGAGAAATTTGTAGCACTTTAAAAAAATATTGAATTTTGTGCAAACATATAAAGAGCTACTTCCGGAATCACCCATCATCCCGGGTAGGGGCAGTGGACTGTCCAGCCTTTTTCAGGGAATGCTGTTCCTACAACCCTTTCTCTACCCCAGAGTCGCTTCTCTACTTCGGGAGGTTTTGCTTCTCCTATGCTTCCCACAGTTGCAAATCCTCACGTTGCCCAAAACTAAATCTTAAGTTCCATGGACAAATGCTCCAGCCCCGCGGGGCTCCCGGACACTAGAGAGATCGGATTTCGCGTGGCAGCCCAGCTTCCCTTACTCCGCTTTCCTCCCGCCTGAGATGCGCTGGAGCCAATCAGAGCGTCGCCGAGCTCTGGGTTGTAGAGTCCCGAGCCGGGACCCGCCCCTCTTTGTTGCGGTGGCCAATGGACGCATTCGGAACATCGGCGGCTGCCCGGGTGACTCGGTTATATGTCACAGAATAACATTCGAGAATGGGACATGGAATGAGGCGACGACCGCAGCAGCCCCAGCAGCCCCAGCAGCCCCAGTCCCAGGCTCTGCAGCAGGCGCCGAAGCAGCAGCCCCCGCCGCCCGGAGAGGCTCCGCAGCAATGAAGCCCACCATCCCGAGGTAGGTCCCGGAGCGCCGCGCGCCCTTTCCGAGCCCCGCCTGCGGTCAGTCGCTCCAGGTACCTGGCCCTGGAATTTGGGGTGCGGGAGGCGGATGCAGCTCTTTCCATTGGAACATAGGGCTAGGGGCGCCCCTTCTCCTGCCGGGGTCCGGGAGGGTTTTCTGGGAGAAGCGGGGCTACCTTTGCAAGCGGAGGCTGCTGCAGCGCCCTCGCGTTAGCCCTGGGCGCTCACGTGTCGGCACGTTCTGGGCTCGTCTCCTCTATCGTCCACTACTGGGACCCAGGAATGAGTGGAGCCTTGCGGGGACCTCCTGTGTCTTCACGCACCACGGGCTGTCTTTCTTCTGCCTACACGGTCCACTCCGCATCCCCCATGCTCCTCGTTTCCCCCACACCCTGGTGTTTAGGTGTGTGTGAAGCTTTGTGGCAAATTCAAGCTGCCTTTCTGTGTAATCGGAAGGCTGAAAGCTCGTATTCAATTCCTTGGGGGAAGGGGGTCTTGTCAGCGTGCAAGGGGCAGCGGGAGGTGACGTGGAGACACTCCAGGGCTCCCACTCTGTTCCTCTGGATGTCCACTTAGCCGTGGTGTCTGCTGTCTCCACTGATTTCAGGCACGGCCCGTAAGCCGGGAGCCCGGCCGCCTCCGCGGAGCTCTCGCCGCCGCTACCCCTTGGCGCGTCCTGCCGCAGAGAGAGGCATGGAAAAGGCCACCCCCGCGGGGCGCTGATCCCCGCGCCGCGCCCGCGCGCACACGCCCCCCGCTGCTGCCGCTGCCGAGCACCCCCCTCACCTTGTCCCCCGCGCCCTCTCCCCACCATGACCGGCTCTGCGGCCGACACTCTCCGCTGCCCCCACCCCAAAGGCTCCAAAGGCACCCGGTCCCGGAGCAGCCACGCACGGCCCGTGAGCCTCGCCACCAGCGGGGGCTCGGAGGAGGAGGACAAAGACGGTGGGGTGATGTTTCACGTTAACAAGAGCGGCTTCCCGATCGACAGCCACACCTGGGAGCGCATGTGGATGCACGTGGCCAAGGTGCACCCCAAGGGGGGAGAAATGGTGGGCGCTATCAGGAACGCCGCCTTCTTGGCAAAGGTCAGTGGCTTCGCATGAGAGGGTGGGATGGGCAATGATGGGACCATTTCAACCAGAACAGAGCAAATAGAGTCAATCTCCATGTCATTGGTCCTGCTACAAACTCCCTCCTCCCAATTGCTCTTGTCAGCCCTTTTCCTAATTGTCATGTTTGCCTTGGAAGCCTTAGAAATGGGGGAGCACCATCCTGGAACTATATGATAGGATTGTGGCAAGGTTTCTTTGAATCTCCAAACTGTTATTTACTCAGTCCCATGTCCATCCCCCTTCAGCAAAGACTAGCGCCACCAGGTAACACCAGCGATGCCAAAAATGCATAGACCCCAAGGATACCACTCTACTTGTCCTCTTTGGAGTTCTCGCTCCTTCCCCCATCCTCCCAGCCCCCCACCCCCAGCAAATGATTTATTAAGCTGTGAATGAATTTGCAATCAACCAGTCAGACTTCTCAGTGTGAATCATTTCTAGACTTTTTGCCTTTTTTTTTTTTTTTTATGACAGTGACTTTCACCTCTGAAACTTGCAAAACAGTGAACTGTCTCTTTACAGCGTATCTGGACTCCAAGAAAAAAAAAAAGAGTTTTGGCAGTGGCTTAAAAGGGACTTTCCAGTACACATGATGAATTAGTCTCACTGGATAAAGAAAGAGGCTCAGGAGTGAGCTGACTGGGCTTGAGGGCCAAGGATATTGTGTCAGAGGGAGGAAGATGTTCCCTGGTGGGAGTAACAGCATTATATAAAATACCAAAATGAAACTGGAGAGAAATGCTGCAGAGCTTGGGAGTTACTATGGTGGATAGTTTCCCCTGGATCTTGGGGACACTGGTATGGCTGAGAAGATTCTTGAGTAGGTCTAGGTATACAAGACCAGAGTCCTAGAGGGCCATCTGATAGAATTTGGTGACAGCTGAGCATGTGAGCCTGCAGGCTAGAAGGCTGTGTGCCCTTGGGGGTGTGACAGGGCCTCTAAACTTCCTGCAGCATCAGTTGGAGTATTTTATTACTCTTCTGGTCAAGGAGATCTTCAGTATGCCCACCTAGAACCTGTCCGCATGAGTGTCAACCAAAATTACCCATGCTCCATTCTCTTAAACAGTCCTGTTTCTGGTTTATTTTTACTTTATATTTTGAGACAATTCTGACTTCACAATTTTTCTTTACTTACTTGAGAAGCTGGAGCCCTTAAGCCTAGAAGATGAGGTCACAGGGAACAGAGGCTAGATGCTACTGTCCTGGGTTGCCTTTCTAACTTGCACACTTATTACTGTCTTGGTCTCTAATTGTGCATTCTTCTTCCATCCTTGTAGTACTTTTCCATGTAGGAATCATGGAATCTTAGTAGGTAAAATAGTCTCCCATCTCACTGAACCCCTTCCCTTCCTCTTCCTGAACACTTACTTGTCACCTCCCAGGGCAGGTGATTCCAGGACTGGCCAGATTTGAATGTGAGGAAGCTCTTTTCTTAGACTAAACAGAAATCCACCACCACTTCAGTCACATTTCACTATGGACTCTTGTATTGCCCTTTGAATCAGTGCGCAGTGTGCTGACTTCCTTGCTATTATTCACAGCAACCCTGAAGGCTACAAGGCTCTTATGGTGGAAGGCACTTGAAGTAAAAATTAGGGACCAAATTCTAGTTTTGGTTGTGCTAGCTTTGTGACCAGGTCACTCACTTAAAATCTCTGGGCTTACTTTTCTCATCTATAAAACAAAAGTAGAGCTGATTTCATGTAATGTTCTTTGCAACTCTCAAATCCCATGATGTCATGATCCAGGAGTCTGCAGGTCTCTAATGCTGACCTGTGTGACACTAGAGCCCACTGGATGAAGAACCCTTAGAACTGTGACATTTCACATTATTCTTTAGTCCTCTGTGTCTACTGACAGTGCCTTTTACCTTTTCTTATGTGTCATAGTTCCCAGACTAACTCATTCTTGTCCTCTTTCTAAGGACAATTGCTAGCTTGTCATCAGTCCTCTGAAATAAGCACATGTAAAATACAATATCCTCAATGTTGTCTGAACAGTTTAGAACATAGATTTCTATTTTCTGATATCTGTACTTAATACCTACTATTATAGCTGAAAGCTATGCTCTTAAAAGAGAATGTTTCTTTTTTCTTTTTCTTTTATTTTTCATACTTGGGATTGAAACCGGGTGCTTTACCACTGACCTTTGACATCCCCAGCCTGTTTTATTTTTACTTTTTATTTTGAGACAAGATCTCACCAAGTTGCTTAGGGCCTCACTAAGTTACGGCGGAGTCTGGTCTCAAAATTGCAATCCTTCTGCCTCAGCCTTCGAGTTGCTGGGATTACAGGCACCTGGCTCAGAATGTTCCTTTTTTTATATGTCAGCTGCATCATTACTGTACTTTTATAGGAACATGGAAACTGCAGTTAAGCCAGGACTCTGCCAGCCCAAATTCGGGCAGTTGGTCTTTGAACCTAGGGAAAGGGCTTAACATTTTTCTCTCTCTCAGCCTTGCCTCTTAATGCTTGGCTCTCTATCTTCAGTGGTCAGATGGTATCTCCCTGGGCCCACCTTTCTGCAAACCCTGACCCCTGCCCAGTCTCTGACATGGGAATGATGTCAAAAGCTCCTGTGTTCCTCTTGGATCAGGGGCAATTTCCTGTGCTTAATTTGGCAGACTCTTCTCTGGGACCAAGTCCTTTCCTCCTTCCTGCAAATCAAAGTCCCCCTGAAGCATGAAAGAACAGTGGTAGGGTAGTGGTTGTGGAGAAAGGTCGGAGAATTTCAAGGCATTTAACTATTTTTTTTTTTGGCAATTGAAGATGCACTAACAAGCAAAAAGAAGTAGACGGGGAAAGGTTTCAAGGGCCTAGGAGAAGGAATGAATGACAGACCCTTCCTGTCTACAGGATGTTCCATTAGTGGCCATGGTCAGCTTTGCCTGAGAGTCCAGCTGTCTCCTCTTGATTGAAAGAAGAGTGTTCACTGAGATCCTTCTTCCAAATTTGTGACTACAGGCCTCTTCTCTGGTGGTTGCTGAGTCTGAAGTTAGCACTTGAACAGGTCAAATCTGAGGTTTTTCAGGGATAGTTTGACCCATTGAGTTCTTAAGTCTTCAATTCTGTGAGCATAATAATTATTTCAGAGTTACTACAAGTGGTATAATTCTTGCTCAATTTATGTGTTTATACGTGTTCCACATGTGAGACAGTGGGGTAGAATGAAGGAAACAGCAAGAATCATTTGGAGGTTTCTAGAAGATGGGAAGGGAGGGGCAGAGAAAGTGGAAGCACTCCTAGCACTTCTGTCTGCCTGGGGCTGGCCCCACTCAGGCAGGAAACCAAGATGGATTCAGCAGGAAACATCCAGTGTTTCTTGCAGCCCTCACACGTTTGTTTCTCATTCTCACATTGATTCTAAACCGGGAAAGAATTCATGTTTAGAGGTCTGAATTTTGCCTCAGCCAACAAGTGTGAGTTCTTGGGACTTGAGACTTTGCTGCAAAGGGGGCTCCACATGGGCCCCCAGAGGCCTCACACGGGCAGTTAATTCCCTCCTCTGCCCTGGATTCAGAACTGTCTGTCTTGTCTGTGCACCCTGCTCTGCCCAAGGACCTCTGTACCAAGCCACCATTAACAGATTTGAGGTTGCTCCTGATGCAGAACCCTGGGCCCCACCCTGAGATCATGGGTGCTGGTTGCTCTGTGCTGCTTCTCCCCAGTTGCCAGGAAGATTCTTCTGCCTGATGCCTGTGCAGTATATTTTTCAGAGCAGGGAAGACAAAAGCCTTTGCTTACTCCTCATTCTTGTCAAAGATTGCTAGTGCCTGGGCCTCTTGCTGCCTCTCTGGCTCCTTTCCTGGCCTCCCCTTTCTCTCCACCATGACAGTGCCAGCTACACACCTGTGCTCATCCATATCCCTTCCCCTTGCTTTCTCCTGACAGATTGTGTTTGGCAAGAATGGAGTCGAAGAGAGGCTGTCTGCAGAAGTCTTGCCTGTGGTTTGTCTCATTCTTCGTCTTCTTGAACAACAGTCTTCCTGCCCACTCCCCTTCCCCCTCTTTCCTGTCCACTAAACCTCCCAGGGCCCTTGTCTGTGGAGAGGTTAGGTCTGAGCTGTTCCCTCTAGATTCTGCCTTCATCAACTTAGCTGTGGTTTGCTGAGCAGGATGTAGGTGGCAGGATATGAGACCCTGGGGGGGAAGAGCCATGGAAAATCAAAGTTGGAGTATGATGAAATCTGGCAAGGAAACAGCATGAGGAAGGACCCTTCGGACCCCAGTCAGGGAGAAGAAAAACGGTGTGCCCTGGGCTTTTCCTGAAAAGGTCGCACCAATTTATGTTCCATTATTGTTGGGTGAGAGCATCCTCACCAGCATTGGGTATTTGCATTTCAAAATGTCTTTGCTATCTAGGGAAGAGGAAAATGACATTTTGCAGGGACTTCAATTTGCATTTCTTAAATTATTAGCGAGCTTGAATGTTTTTTTCAAATATTTATTCCCTCTGCATTTCTTCTTTTTGTGATCTTTTTATCGTGATAAACCTATATAACATAATTTACCATTTTAACCATTCAAGGTGCACAGTTCTGTCGCAATAAGTACATTCATGTCACTGCCATCCATCTCCAAAACTTTTTCATCTTCCTCCATTGACACCGGTACACATTAAAAACACGATCTCCTCATCTCCTTCTCAACCCAGCCTCTGACAGTCAGTCTCTACTTCCTATGAATCAGGCAACTCTATAATCCTCATTCAAGAGAAATTATACAATATTTGCCCCCTGCTTCCCCCCCACCCCCAGGACTGGGGATTGAACCTAGGAGAGCTTTGCCACTGAGCTTTACCACGAATTGCCAGTTCTTTTTATTTTTTTAAATTTTGAGTCAGGGTCTTACTAAATTGCTGAAACTGGTCTCGAATTAGCAATTCTCCTGTCTCAGCCTCGCAAGTGGCTGCGATTACAGGCATGTGCCTCCATACTTGGCTCAACATTTGCCCTTTTATGACAAGGTTATTCCCCTACCAAATGTCTTCAAGGTTCATCTATGTTCTAGCATGTACTAAAATTTCCTTCCTTTTTAAGCCTGAATAACTATCCACTGTATGTACGTGCAACATTGTGCGTATTCCTTTCATTCATCCATAGACCCTTGTGTTGCTTCCACCTTTGGGGGCTCTATTTTTTTCCATTGAGGCCTAAAGAGTTTTCTTATCGTTCTGTATGAACTCTTCATGAATTAAGGATATTAATTTATTGTCACCACGCATCCCCAGGGGAATGTGGGTGTTTTCATCTTCCATTAGTGTGAGAAGACATCTTCGTGATTCCAAGTTCTGAGTATCTGAGAATTCAGGCCCCTGCTGATTCTGTTTTCAAGTTCTAGAAAGGTGCAGACTCTACAGGCCTCCCTGGTCTAGACCCCTGAGAACCTGTTGTTGATGAGCCATTACAGTTTAACACCTTTGAATGTTTACACATTAGCTCATGTAACCTCACAACCAGCCTGGAAGGTTTAAAACAGGTAATGATATGATTCCTCTGTTATCAGGAGGAAAGCGGAGACTTAGAGAGGTCATGCAGCTCCAAACAGGGTCCATAGCTGGTAGGTGACAGCAGAGATTTGAACCTGATTGTGTGTCTTGTGATAATACCCCAAAGAGCCCACCCGGCCTTATAGTCCAGGTCCCATGGGAACCCTGGCAGCCTAAGGCACCAGCTGGAAACTGCCCCCCTCGTCTGAGCCCCCGCCAGTTCTCCCAGACGTCGGGTGAGTTGTAGCCGATGACATCATCCCCGCAGCAGTCTCTGCTCCTCTCCCCACCACAGCTCAGCTCCCCAGCCTGGGTTTGGGGAATGTCTACATTTGTCCTCCCGACTGGGAGCAAATGTGGCCGCAGCCCTAGGACTCTGCTCACAGCCGGGCTGAGGTAACCATGCAGCTGTCTTGAAAAGCCCTTGGGCGCCATTGGGCTGTTATTCTGAGGACCAGCTGTCGCCTGACTCCCACCCCCACCATTCAGCCTGTGGAGCTTCAGGGGAGTTGAAATAATTTGGTGGTCAGCCCTGCAGCGAACTCTGAACCGTGTCACTGGCTGTGCACAGTTTCCCAAGAGGTTTACCCTCCCACTTCCCCACATTTACCAACTTTTCCATGAAGTAGGTACAAACAGCACTTGCCTGTGGAGAAATGCTCATGGCTTCATAAACTGTAATTTCCCTCCTCCCTTCCTCTGCTCCTGTACTTTCTGTCCCCTCTGTATCTGGCCTAGAGCTTGGAACATAGGAGATGCTAAGAAAATGTCTGTTCAAATCTCCCCTTCTTTCTTTACTTCTCTGTGAAATTTCTGGCACGTTTTTTTTACCCAGAATTCCAGGTATGGGTTTTTGTAGATGTTTCTGAAAAGAAACAAAAACAAAAGCAGGGATAAGCTTGACACTTCCTGGTGTTTGTTGAGCAGAAATGCAAGTGTTCTTTCCTAACCCTTTTTTTGGTGATACCAGGGATGGAACCCAGAGCCTCACTAGTGCAAGGAATGTGCTCTATCACTGAGCTATATCACCAGCCCTGCCTGTTTTTTTTTGCTTTTGTTTTTGTTTTTGAGATGGATTCTTGCTATGTTGCCCAGGCTGGCACTGAACTCCTGGGATCAAGAGATCCTCCTGTCTCAGCCTCCAAAGTAGCTGGGACTACAGATATGTACCACTGAACCCTGCTCACTTCTTATTTTGACTCTGTGTGTGTGTGTGTGTGTGTTCAAATTGAAACATTTGCTCCTCAAAATAACTCTCTCAGGCTGGAATGTGATTCATTTGAGTTGAGATGTTGTAAAGAAAATGTAGCTTGCAGAACAGTTGTGTTTGCAAGTACTGCCACTTAGCCACACCACACACACACACACACACACACACACACAGGACTCACACATAATCCTTAACTGTGAGGTAGAAAGTGTGACTTTCAGCTGAAGGAACGCTGGCTGTGAAGTAGTATGTCTCAAGGCCAAGATAGATTAGAGGCAAGATCGGAAATGAAGGTTAAGGCACATTTGCAGTAAATGTAGCCAAAGGGGCAGAAGTATGGAAAGAGCCTGCTGCCCCATAGGAACTTGTCAGGGAAACAGCCAGGAATGTCCTAGGCAACATCTGGCTCTGCTGCCCAGCCAGGCTTCCCAGGGCTGTCCTTGAATCTCTTTACCAGCAACTTCCCCTTCTATCTGCTTAGTATTATCCTAGGGCTTTCCTGGTCCTGTTTTCTCCATGGATGGGACTATCTTTCTTTTAACCAGTTCTACTTTTTCCTAAGAGGCTAAGGAACCTCCTTTCTCCTTCCTGGGTCCATAGTTCCTCTCACCAATGACTCTACCCCACCAGACAGCAGAGGCAAGGAGACTGAGAAACACATAATGGGGAATAAAACAAAACCAAACCAAAGCAGAATCTTAACATGCCAGGCACCCTGTAATCTCAGCATCTGAGGAGGCTGAGACAAGAGAATCACTAGTTTAAAGCTAGCTTCAGCAAAAAGCAAGGTGCTAAGCAACTCAGTGAGACCCTGTCTCTAAATAAAATATAAAATAGGGTTGGGGATGTGGCTCAGTGGTCGAGTGCCCCTGAGTTCAATTCCCAGTGCAAAAAAAAAAAAAAAAAATCTAACATGCGTACAAGACAAAACCATGCCCATATGTTGTTTCTTGCTTCCCAGGAGTCGCTTAATTGGACACCTCTGTTTATTCTTGCTCTTGGCCTCCTTGACAGGGTTGCTCAGAGCTGAGTGGGCGTCTTAGCTCTAAATTTCCCAGGAGACGCACTTTCCTTCCCCTTCCCAGTCCTTGCTTGCCTTTGGTCCTTTCTCTCCCTGGCAGGGGTTAGAACTTCATATACTTGAGTGTTGACCAAAAGGTAGACTAGGAAACAAAATTGGCTGGGGTGTCCTCTGGGTAAAAGCCCAAGTTCAGGATTTTCTCCCGAAGAGCCACTTCTTTTTATCTTGCTGAAGCACACATACATACTTTTACACGCACGCTGGATACATGGATCTTTGGTTCTAAATTATTTTCTGAATTATAGGAACAATTTCAGAGAGCCTCACCAACTGTGGTAGGCCTGCTCATGGTGCTAAAGGACTATGATTTATGAAAGTTACAGGTGCGATATGAGAGGTAGCGTCAGCATTTCCCCAGACACAGGGTGCTAGGAGGTTACCCAGAGGTTTGGGTGCTGCTCTTTTCCTTTCCATGGATTTTTATGAGTCAGAGGAGCTGCACTTGTCCAGGAAGAATCAAGGCAAGAAAAGGAATCTTTCTGAATCCACTTGGTTGTGGGACTTAGGGGACAGAATACAATGGGTGTTGCAGGGAAGTATATTGAGAACGGGGCCCTTAGCACTATGTTGTAGGGCACCGTGTACCTGCATTTTGTGTAAATAAAGACCTGGAGTGATGACCCATAAACTGGGTCATCATTAGCCGTGCAACAAAAGGTGTCATGTGCCGGGCGCGGTGGCGCATGCCTGTAATCCCAGTGGCTCAGGAGGCTGAGGCAGGAGGATCGCTAGTTCAAAGCCAGCCTCGGCAAAAGTGGGGTGCTCAGCAACCCAGTGAGACCCTGTCTCTAAATAAAATACAAAATAGGGCTGGGGATGTGGCTCAGTGGTCAAGTTACCCTGAGTTCAGTCCCTGATACCAAAAAAAAAAAAAGTGTTTTACAGTAAAAGTGTGGCCATGAATGGAGCACTTCTGTGTCCACCTGGGCCAGACTCAGTGGGGAGTATATGGCCCCTGGTCTCAAGGAAGTGCTTAGGCTCCCACGGGAGAGGCCAGTTGTGTTAACACAACACCAGGAGAGCCACAGGGAGCCCCCATGACCCAGAAGAGAGTATGTATAGAGGGAGAACTTCCATTGATGCACTGGCAATTCTGGGGAGACCTTGTGGAGGAGGCACCCTTGGAACAAGTGAGCATGCTAAGGTGGTTATCTGCGCTCGGGAGCAGCTCCTTCTCTGGTAGTTATAGCTCTGCGCCTGCCCCCAGAAGCTATCTCCTCAACAAAAAGATCCTTCTCTATTTCTCTACAGCCTTCAATACCCCAGGTCCCAAACTACAGGCTGTCGATGACGATTCCAGACTGGCTGCAGGCAATACAAAATTACATGAAGACACTACAGTATCCTTCCACCTGGCATCTGAGTGGACCTGGCTGGGGGTCTGGGGATGGTAAGTCTGGTGTCACGTCTGTCCCCAGTTGGTCTTTAAGGCTGGTGAGGCATACAGGAAGGCCCCAGATGAGAGTCTGAAAGTGATAACAGAGGATGTAATTGCAATGATCAGCCCTTCTTCCTTTAAGTAGGATGTGGGCAAGAACAGCAAGGGGACAGTGAGCCAGACCCTCTGGCCTCTCTTTTTCCCTCCCCTTTCCTGGGCTTTCCGTGAGATCCCCTCTTCCTTACATCTTCTTCCTTTTCTCTGCTTCCTTCCTCTTGGTCACTTACTCTCCTCCCCTCTTCCTCTACTGAACCAACTGTCTTTCTTCCCCTTCCCCCTATTCTTTTTCTTTTATTTCTTCTCTCACTTATTTACCTTGGTCCCTGGTCACTCATGATCTCAAGAGACCTACCCCATGCTGCTTTGGGCTCCCACAGCAATCCAGGATGGTGACCTTGCTCAGATTCTGCATAAATTGGTTGGGGCTCTGCAGTGGGGGTCCTGTCCCCGACTTGAGCTTGAAGAATTGCTGAGGAACCCTGTGGGCCCAGGCTGGTTCAGACTAGCTAGATTTTTTTGATCTCCATGTCCTCGGCTTGTTGACAATCAAGATTAGATCAGTTCAGAGGGCTCCTCATGAGCAACCCTGTGGGAACGAAGGGGCAGAAGTGATGGTCCTCTAGACACTTCTGGGATTATACCAAGCATAGGTGTCCAATGGGGAGCAGGCCACAGCACATTGTCCGGGAGGCCAAGCTTCTGTTGACCCTTGCTCTTTCTCCATAGACATGAAACTTAGCCTGTCCTGCAAAACCGTCACATTGCTTTGATTTCTATTTGTCTGTTCCTATCCAGCCTTGAGGCCAAAAGGACTTCAGAAAGCACCAAGCACCTGGCCAACATATTCCAAAAGAGCCTCCTCTTCTCTGTATTATAGGCAAGACTCTTTCTGGTGGATTTTTTTGGGTCTCCTCTAAAGGGACGAAACATCAGCACCTCTCCCATAGGGCTGAGTGTTACCAGATGGAAATAACACCAATTTCTGCTCATTTGGGTAGAGAGATTACTTGATTAGCCTTAGTTCCCATTTCATGGATCACCAGCTCCCCCATGTGACATTTTCTCAGTGGAGTCCTGCGGTGATATTAGCAGGAGAAGGTGGAAGCAACCTCCAGAGGGAGGTCAACAGTTCTGGCCCTGGGAAGACTATGGGTATGGTTGCTGATCCACTTGGGAGTTCACTTGGGAGTTCTTTGTAGTCCAGAAGCACAAACTCCTGCCAGAGTAGACCTGAATCCCAAGAGCTGATTCTTTTCAAAGGTGACCTACTCTTCATCAAATATTCCAAAAGGTGACAAATGAGAATGGCTTCTATTTCTATCTAGGACTTAGTCTTCCCAAGGATCACCAAGCCAGAGAGGCAAGAGAATGAGTCTGGGCTGGGATGGCATTGATGGGGGCAAATTGTATGTGCTTTGTGTAGCACTTGCCCATGTTCCCTTCAGCCCTGCAGCATGTACTCAGCTAAGTTTCATTGTTGCCCTGAAGGATCTGCATTTTAATTTTTCTTTTCTCTGAACTTCTGTGATGGTCAATTGAAGAAGATCACTGATGGCAGAAGGGGCAGGAAAAATCACCAGGGGGCTGTTGGGATGTGCTCCTGGCCTTTGGAGCCATCACTCCAGGAAAGCAAAGCATGGACTTTTTCTTTTTTTTTTTTTTTAGAGAAAGAATTTTTTTTTTTTTTAAAGAGAGAGAGAGAGAGAGAGAGAGAATTTTTTTTAATATTTATTTTTTAGTTTTTTTGGCGGACACAACATCTTTGTTTGTATGTGGTTCTGAGGATCGAACCCGGGCCGCATGCATGCCAGGCGAGCGCGCTACCTCTTGAGCCACATCCCCAGTCCCGAGAAAGAATTTTTTAATATTTATTTTTCAGTTTTTGTTGGACACAACATTTTTATTTTATTTTATGTGATGCTGAGGCTCGAATCCAGTGCCCCGTGCATGCCAGGTGAGCGCTTGAGCCACATCCTCAGCCCAAGCAAGGACTTTTTCTTCTGACCTGATTTTGGTTTAGTTCATTGGGACCCCCTACTACTTTGGCCTGGACACTGTAGCAGATGTCAATTCTGGGAATTGCTTGGGTCCAGACCTGACTATAGATGGTCTCAGCTGGCTGTGGAGTCATGAAAAAATGAATCCTGTTTTCCCCTGATACAGCCTCCAAGTGGCAGCCAACTGGTGTGCTGATTTTGCTTGGGATTCTGGAAAGAAAGGTGCCTCACTGGCTGTGCTAGATGGGGAGAAATCTTCTGAAGAGCACAGGGGAGAATGAATACCTTCCTCTGCAGAGAGTGTGCTGGGAAGACTATTTCCACCCATTCACTTTCAGGGTCTCAATTATCCATTGTAAAGAACTGAGAGAAGGGTGGTCAGGTAGTTTTTCATTATTTAATTATCAGTTTATCTTACTTTATGTACTGGATGTATACATTAAATATATAAACAGGGAAAGTTGAGCATATAGCTGCATGTTTGCCAATTGAATTCTTTATATTTACTGGGAACCCCACTTTTTGAGTAAATCTTTGGTTTAAGTAAAAAAAAAATCACTTTAGAATGAGAATATTTAGTCCCTCATTTTCTCTTTTACCTCTAATATTTTGTACATGGTGTTTTCAGAAATGCCACCAAGCCTGTATTGTTCGTGGTTAATCTCACAGCCTAGTCAGTAACTCCCAAGCTGGTGAGTTCGTGAAAACTGTCCTTTGCCCCACACCCTGCAGCTCTGAACTCAGTGATCTGAGTTAGGGTGAGTTTGAATGGCAACTATGGTTAAGAGGCATGGCCTGAAATCACAGTTTCCAGGGTTGGTGCCTAGAGTCTGCTTTTGAGCTCCCCAGATGGTTGTCACATGTGCCTGTGTCCGAGAGGCCAGACACACTGGTGCTGGAAGGGACCCCAGCCCCTCTCAGGAGGGTGTGAAGTGTCTCCTCTGCAGCTGCTTTTTTCACTCAGGGGTGCATCCGTCCCACAAGTCCTTCCTGGGCTGCAGTAGCTCTACGTGTTCCTGCTTCCTTAGTGCCCTCCCAACACGCACTTTTTCTATGATTTGGTTTGAGGCAAAAAAGCCAAACACACAAAGCGATTTTTCCATAGAGTGAGAAAAATCAAGATCCAGACTCAGAGAACATTAGGAAATCATTGATCTCCTCCAGAGTCACCTGGTGCAGGTTTACCAATTCCTGGGAACTTCTGGGTAGCTGGCTAAATTCTAGATGTGGATGGTGGTGCCATCTTTTTAGGTTTAGTCATCAATGTTAAGTGTCAGTGCAGCCATGAAAGTGATGTTTCTAGAGTAAACTCTGTTGCATTCTGTCTGTGTGCAATTAAAAAACTTATTGCCATTTATTTACCCTTCATTCCATTTCATCCGTGCATCTGAATCCATCCTCCTTTCCTCCATCCATCCTTCCATTCCACCTATTCATCCATCTTTCCATCCATCTTTCATCCTTCCATCCGTGCATCCTTCCATTTCACCCTTCTCTCCTGACATCCCTTCATCAATCTCTCCATTCATCTATTCATTCACTTCTTCCTTAGTCATTTAATAAAATTTGCTAACTTATGTTGGGATTCTGCCAAGCTTTATGGGGATATAAAGATGATAAAAGAACAGTCCCAACTCTCAAAGAACTTGTAGTCTAGTAGGTAAATTAAGATTGTGTGTGTGTGTGTGTGTATATATATATATATATATATATATATATATATATATATATATAAAACTAATCAGGATTTAACAGAGCTTACAAAGGTCCAAGGTTCTCTTAGACCTAAGTTAAAAATTAGATTAAACTTTATGACAGGACAGTGAAGAATTAGAGGCTACTGGCTACTGTCTATCTTTGAAAAGCTCCTGCTGTTTAACCCCATTGAGAAACCAGAATGCATATTTTCCTCTGCTGAGTGACTGGGATCTTTGGAGTTTTCTGTTACTTTTCCTTTACATACTTTACACAGATATAATCACACAGGGACCCAGTTCTTTGAAATTAGGAAAATGAGACCGCTGAGTGGGTAAGTGGTGCATGATCTGTGGGCCAGATGCCCTCTCTCTCTCCTACCAAAAAGAGCTGCCAATTCCCTCTCCCAACCTCTAGTCCTATATCCTGGTGCTCAGATATCCTAATCAGTTGGGGGTATATGTAGAGGGTGTCCCTGGGCCCAGGTTGAAGGTGGGGCTGAGGACTGAGCCACTCCAACTGCTGTGTCTAGTGGTGAAGTCTGACTCTCTGCATTGGAAGCTTGTAAGATTCACTTTCTGAGGCCTCATTTGCCTGTTCCATTGGGAATGTGCCATGGAATACTGGCACTCACCTCTGGGATGTAACTCTTGGAGAAGAGAGTGGAGAATTGAGGGTTTTAGTTCTGCCAAGTGCAGATACGCTTTGGTGTCTTCCTGTGAATCAAGCTCTCTCTTTCCCCTATATTCCTGCATGGTGCCTAGGGTAGAGACAGGCATGCTGATGAATTGATAGACAGACTGACTACTGCATAATTAAGTCCTGAGAATCCTTTGCTGTGTTCTATCCTACAGGTTAATGGAAACAGCGAAAGAAATGACCCGAGAGTCCTTACCTATCAAATGCCTTGAAGCTGTCATCCTGGGCATGTATCCTTGAAGTTATGTATGCTTACAGTTACTGCACAGATGGTGACCTAACTATGGGGCTTGTTGCACCTTCAACATCTTTAATTAACAGAGATGATGCCCATTTCTCTTTGAATGAAGGGATCAAACTCTGGTGCTTCTCTTTAGCTTTTACTTTGGGAGTTGAACCAAATCAATGCTTGGCTTCTTGGACCAACAGTAGTCAAAACTGTTAGCTCTATCCTCTATGAGGGCTGGCTCTCAGGCCAGTGGGGTTGCAGGTTCCCTGGTCACAAGGAGAATTCTAACTTAGAGGGACTAGAGAGAGAGAAAGAGAATGTTTCTTTCTTGCATTAATTTGACATTGTCACAGGAAAAACACTCAAGGGAAAGTGGAATCAGTAACAAGAGGGCTAGTCGCCAAAACCATCTCCAAGGAAAACGTAAGGGCAGATTGTGGAGGAGACCAAGCAGAGGCAGTGCGTTCCCACTTGATGGAACACAGCTGGCACAAGGGTCTGGTCTCTCTCACACTTTCTGTTCCATTTTCCACCACACTCTTGGCTCTTCAACCTGAGAGGAGTGCAGTCCAGAAAAACCGTGATGACACTTATTGGTGCTGATGGTAATTGAACATGATCAGATAGAAGAGCAAAGAAACTCCAAGTTCTCTGGGTGGATGGCTGGAAGGGATGGTGGCAAAGGAAACAGAGTAAGATATGAGCTTGAGAGATGGGGGAACCAGTTGGGTCCTTGTGTGCTGTACTGAGAAGTTATCTTTTCCTAAAAGGAAGTGGACAGCTCAGATGGAAGTTCTGAAGCAAAGAAGTGACATGATCATATGTACTTTTTAGACAATAGCTTTCTATTTTATTTTATTTGGTTCTAGGGGCGCTTAACCCCTGAGCCACATCCCCAGTCCTTTTTTAAATTTAGGACAGGGTCTTCTAAGTTGCTTAGGCTGGCTTTGAATTTGTGATCCTCCTGCCTTAGCCTCCTGAGCTGCTACTATTACAAGCGTGTGCCAGGTGAGAGTAGCCTTCTAAAGGATAGACTGAAAAAGGACAGTTGGAGAAGGCTGGGACTGGATCTGCAAAGCCCATTGGGAGCTATTACAGGAGGAAGGGTGATGTTTGGACCATGGCCCTGGTGATAGGAATGGAGTTGAGGGGATGGTTTCAGGAGTTGGTAAGGAGGCAGAATGTACAGAACTTGGAGACTAGATGAATGCAGGAGTTAATAAGCAATCAACAAATACAGGTTTCCTGATTGGGTGACAGTGTGTGGAGGATGGGCTGGAGGGGTGAGAGTGACAGAGAAGTGGATACTTCACTTCAGTGCAGACCTGAACTCAGGAAGTAGCAGTGAAGGAGGAGGGAAGGGGTTGGAAGTGAACCAACACTTGTGAACTGCTGAGAAGTGAAGAGCTAAATGAGAAAGAAGGAACCCTATATTTCTGGCTTGCATAATAAATAGGGTCACACACCAAGGGAAGGACTTAGAGGGAAGTATCAGATTTATGGGGACCTGAGTTCAGATTTGGACTAGCTGAGTTTGAGGCATTGAATTCAGGATGCAGGATGGGCTGTTTGGAGAGTGGAGCTCACCAGGAGGATCTACACTAGAAATACTGATTTGGGAGCTGGGATATTTTGGGGGGTTGTAGCTGCTGTTCAAGACGTTAGAAGGGAAAATGATCAAGGACAAAAATCTCAGTATTTTTGGTCTAGTTGGATGCAAAGAACTTATGAGAGAGACTCAGGAGGGGAAGTCAGAGAGGTCAAAGGAAAGGCAGAAGAGAAAGGAGCTCTAGCAATCAGCAGGACACGGGATTGGTCTAGTCTGTTTTTGGACATTGTCATGGGAGGGGGAATGCCTTTGGACATTGTCATGGGAGGGGGAATTTCTTGCCTCTGCTGTCTGTGGAGCACTGGAAGGTCTGATCTGAAACCAGATTGTGCACAGGTGCCTTGGTGGACTTCTGAAACAAACAAACAAAACAAAAAACCCCAGAAACTTGAGCCTCTTGGAGGCCCCTCCCCAGCTATGCAATGATGCCTGCTCCCAGCTTCCCACAAAGGAGATGAAATGTGTGCCTGGGGAGCGCAGCAGGAGGCCAGGGCTGAGGGTCAGGGCAACAGATGGCTGAGGGCCCCAACTCTTTAGTGACAGGAATGAGCCACAGCTGTTTAGCAGAGCCTCTTGCAAGTTTAATAGGGGCGAACAATTGGCCAGAGATCTGGTGGAGATCAGTGAAGAACACTAGCCCAGGCCCTTTTCTGGATGGATGAGCTAACCTCAGGCTCTGCTGCTGGACATCTAAGTGCACCTGCATAGAGTTATCCGCCCCTCCTCCCCACACTCCTGCACAGTTTTCTGCATCTAAGCTCCCTGTCACTGAAATTATCTGCAATCTTTGGGGATTGCAGGGAATAGATCTGTGACAAAACTTCTGGGCTTGTACTCTTGCTTTTCCTTTGTTCTTATCCGTGTTACATTTCAGAACAGTCCAGGGAAGGTGGGGAGGGTGGAGAGATTGAGCTCACACTGCTGAACACAGTGAAATCTGACTCTGGGACGCAGACAAGAAACACAGACCTAAATTCTAAAAGTTGCAGCATCTTTGTCTTCTCTTTGCTGTGCGTCAGCATCTCTGTGTCCTGCTTTGCCCTCAGGGATAGTGAAGGATGGCTTGGGCATCACCTGTGTCTCCCGCAGACCCTTGTGCAGGTCCAGGAAAAGACCTGGATGACTCAGAAGCTGTATATTTGGCTGCACACTGTGTCCCTTGACATTTTCTGCCTTGTTTTCTTTTTGTACTTTTTTCCCAAGTTCAGGATTTTCTCCCAAAGAGCCACTTTTTTTTTTTTTTTAAATCTTGCTGAAGCACATATACATATACTTTTACATGCATGCTGGATACATAGATCTTTGGTTCTAAATTATTTTCTGAATTATAGCAACAATTTTAGAGGGCTTCACCGACTGTGGTAGGCCTGCTCATGGTGCTAAAGAACCATTTTTTGTGAAAGTTACAGGTGCGATATGAGAGGTAGCCTCAGCATTTCCCCAGACACAAGGTGCTAGGAGATTATCCAGAGGTTTGAGTGCTGCTATTTTCCTTCCTAAGGAAAAACTCAGGCTGCTTCCCTACTCTCACCCAAGGCTTCACTGACTGCCATAATGATGGAACAAGTCCTGGAGATCGGTGACTTGTGATGGGGTGGTCTAGTGGTCTCTCCGGTCTCCTCCCCACTCCCACTTCCCTACCTAGCTGAATACTTGTCCTCCAAGACTAATTCCAGTGTTGCTGTGCTGAGGCTCCACTTCTGTCCACCCACAGATTACTAGGCTTGCCTCTCTTATGGCAGGTATCACACCGTGTTTTGGTCTTGTTTTTTTATTGTAAAACATATATAACAAAGTTAACCATCTTAACTATTTTCAAATATATAATTCAGTGACATTAAGTCTATCTGTAATCTTGTGTGACATTATTACCGTTCATATCCAGAACTTTCTCATCACCCCAGTTGGAACTGCACACCCATTAAACAGCTCCTGTTGCCTCCTTCCAGCCCCTGGCAACCACGATCCGCCTTCTGTCTCTATGAATTTGACTATTCTAGGCACTTCAGATGAATGGAATTATACAGATTGTGTCCTTTTCTGTATGGCTTATTTCACTTGGCATCGTATCTGCAAGCGTTTATTCATGTTTTAGCATATTACAAGATTTCTTTCTTTCTTTTTTTTTGGCTACTAGTAATCAAGCCCAGGACCTCATGCATGCTAGGCAAGCTCTCCACCATTGAGCTAACTCCAAGCCCAGGATTTCATTCTTTTAAAAGGATGAATAATACTGTTTGTTGTACAGATACTACATTTTGTTTATCCATTTATCCATTGGTGGACGTTTGGATTGTTTCCACTTTGGTTATTGTGACTAATGCTGCTGTGAGCCTCAGGGTACAGATGTCTGGAAACCCTGGTTGCAGTTCTTTTGGGTACTGTGACTAACTGATATCAGTCAGCTTGTTATTGCTGTGACCAGACTACTTGGCACCGGTTTAGAGGAGGAAAAGTATGTTTGGGTTTGTGGTTTCAGGGGTTCAGTACCTGGATAGCCAGCTCCATTACTTTAGACCCCAGGTGAGGCAAGACATGGTGGAGGAAAGCTGCTCAGCTCATGGCAGCCAGGAAGGAGAGAGAGAGAGAGAGAGAGAGAGAGAGAGAGAGAGAGAGAGAGAGAGAGAGAGAGAGAGGAGAGGAGAGGGAAGAGAGAGAGGACAGAGAGGTGCCAGGGACCCCTAGTGATCTATTTCCTCCGGCCACACCCTACCTGCCTACAGTTACCACTCAGGTGGATAGTCCTTTCACATTATTCATCCATCAAATGGACTAATCCACTCATTAGGTCACAGCTCTCATAATCTAATAAGCTTTGGGGGGACAGAATGAAATTGCTGGATCATATGTTAATTCTGTTTTGTTTTTTAACTTCTTAAAATTTTTTTTTTTAGTTGTAGATGGACACATGATATCTTTATTTATATTTATGTGGTGCTGAGGACCAAACCCAGTGCCTCACACATACAAGGCAAGCACTTTACCACGGAGCTATCAAGGGTCCTCCTGTCCATCAGTGTTATAGCTAGGGTAGGGTAGGGGGAAAATGGGATTGTATAAAGGTGTAATGAGCAGGGGTCAAATCGTGGCAGGATGTGGACTATGTCCTGGAGAAGATGAGTCATTGAAAACTTTTAAGTGGAAGAGTGACATATACCAAATTTTGACTTAAATAGGTCATTCTGGCCACTGCATGGAATTGGAGAGGAGGCCAGCATTAGTGAAAACACATTCTTAGAGTGGAGAATGGCACCTGCTATGAACACTGACTATGCACAGGACTCTGTGATGAGCACCTGGATTAGTATTTTCCAAATATTTTTAGCAGAGGAGTGACATTATATCCCCCCGCCTTTCAGAGGAGTTTTCAATAGCCCTCTCCAGAAAAGCTGGGCAGAGGGACTCACAGCCTCAGCAGGACTGGTTGGGATTTCAAGATGGACTTGAGAATGCAGTGTCTCTTGTCCATCGTTTCTGTACAAGGAGGCAGTGGGACCATTATTTGAAGCTGCACCTGTGGAGTTGCTAGGTCAAAACCAAGGTAACAATAAGAGACTGTTATTAAATCCAAATGGGCCAGTGAGTGGAGAGAGCCTGCCTATTGACTGGGGACTGAGAGGAGCCTTGGAGTTTGGGTGTGGAGGCAGCTGCTCCGCATGGTACCCCAGGAGTACCCTCTGGCACGGGTACTCCGGGGCCTGGGAGGACCAGATGAGGTACATATTGACCCCTTATGACTGTTCTCTGGCCCTTGCCATCTAGATCATCCACCAGCCTGCCTCTCACATCTCTATTGCCTGGATTCTGGTTTTCATTTCTCACTTTGGACTCCAGCGTATTCTTGGTCTATTTCACACAAGGTAGTCTAGCACATCATTCTGACTGCATAAAAGAAGAAGAAAAACAAAGACACCTTGAAGAGCTCTTAATCCCCCGTAGAGAACCAAGCAAGGAAAAAGTGCCTTCATGTTATGTTTTGCATTTTTTTGTTTTCCATTTAATTACTAAAGATGGCAAGCTGTTCTCTTTGTCCCATATTAATTCTGTTTTGGTATGTACCATTTAGTTGATACTTGAAGATATCAAGTGGATCCTTTATCAAAAGATCTAGAAAGCTTAGATGTCGGCCTGCTCAGAGGCAGAAGTATAGGCTCGTTGACCCCTATGAGTTTGTTTTCCTTTCTTGGGAGTCTGTCCTCTGTGAATTTTCAAGACCTTTGTTCCTTCCTTGACTCAAATCGTCTAAGATACTTAACCAATGGACAGCCTTCCATCGAGCGATTCCCCATCAGCTTTAAAACCTACTTCTCAGGAAACTACTTTCACCATGTTGTGCTGGGGATTTATTGCAATGGCCGCTATGGCTCACTGGGCATGAGCAGAAGGGCTGAGCTGATGGACAAGCCATTGACCTTTCGGACTCTGAGTGACCTTATCTTTGACTTTGAAGACTCTTACAAGAAATACCTGCACACAGTCAAGAAGGTCAAGATTGGGCTGTATGTCCCCCATGAGCCTCATAGCTTCCAACCCATTGAGTGGAAGCAGCTGGTCCTCAATGTCTCCAAGATGTTGAGGGCTGACATAAGGAAGGAGCTGGAGAAGTACGCCAGGGACATGAGAATGAAGGTAGGTGCTGGCAACACAAATTTATGCCTTTTTCCCATTTCCTCTCTCTCCGTACCCGCACCTCTACCCCTTTTGCTCCAGGCCTCAAACTTCTAGGATGGTCACACAAGTTTCCTGAGGTTATCTTGCTTGGTGGTCACACTAGTAAATTCAGAAATATAAGTCATTTATTACTTGATAAAGACAATTGAAGTCTCTCTTTGTATGTAACATAGTTGGCCCTTCATACCTGTGGGTTCTGCATCTGCAGTTTCAACCAACCTTATTAAAAATATTTGGGAAAAAATTACATCTGTTCTGAATATATACAGACCTGTGTATTGTCATTATTCCCTAAACAATACAGTGTAACAACTGTTTTCATAGTACTTACATTGTGTTAGGTATTGCAAGTAATTTAAAGTACCTGAGAGGATTGTGTAGGCTATATGCAAATACTACACCATAGATTTTGGTAATCTGTGGAGTTCCTAGAACCAGTCCCCTCTAGGATCGAGAGGACAATTGTTTCTCAAAAATCAGAACGAAAACCAAATTAGATCTTAAAATTAAAGCAATATCTTGGCCTGCGATTTCTTCTGTGAAATCAGATGTAAAATGTAGTCATTTCACATTAAAGCTCTAGTTTTGTTCTGTTTTCACCATACAGTAGGGTGGCCAATTGTTCCAGTGTGCTTGGAACTGAATGGTTTTCCAGGACAGGTTTTTCAATATTAAAACTAGAAAAGGAGGGGCTGGGATTGTGGCTCAGCGGTAGAGCACTCGCTTAGCACGCGTGAGGCCCTGGGTTCGATCCTCAGCACACATAAAAATAAATAAATAAAATAAAGACATTGTGTCCAGTTACAACTAAAAAAAAAAAAAAAAAAAAAAAAACTAGGAAAGGAGCCAGATGCAGTGGCACATGCCTGTAATCCCAGCAGCTCGGGAGGGTGAGGCAGGATCATGAGTTCAAAGCCAGCCTCAGCAAAAGTGAGGCTCTAAGCAACTCAGTGAGACCCTGTTTCCAAATAAAAACCAAAATAGGCATGGGGATGTGGCTCAGTGGTGAAGTGCCCCTGAGTTCATTCCCTGGTACCCAAACAAAACAAACCAGGAAAGACCCAGGGAAACCAGGAAGAGTTGGTCTCCCTGCTTTATGATGTGTTTCAGAGTCACATTACGTCTTTGGTCTGCCATCTAAATTGCAAAGCCCTTTGACATAAAATTCTAATCAGGCGTCACAATAGCCAACGAGGGAGTGTTCACGGGGCAGGCCTTAGATAGAACATACCTATAAGCCTTTCTTCCCTCTTCCAGGTTTCTCTGCAGTGACTTGATGCCAGCTTATCCATGTCCCTCCAGGGCTTGTGGGGTCACTACAGAAAAGCCCCTGCACACACTAAAGTCCTGGGGTGGGGGTTATGCTAACTTCAGGCTTGGTTATGTTCAGCACCTGGGGGCCTGCCATCTTCACTCTGTTGGCCCTGGAGTGGAGCTTTTGATAAACTGCAGCCACTCTGTGTACCTGGGCTGGGAGATTCTGAGGACGAACATGCTGGTCCCTGAGGCAGTGCAGCTGAGCAGAGAATCTTGCCTAGAGACCAAGCAGCCCCAGGAGGGCGAGGCATTTAACTCAGTTCCCCTGTCTCCCATGGAAAAGGGGATGTGATGACCCACATGGCTCTCTGGGAAGCGGTGCCCTTCTTGTCAGTGCAGGGAGGAATGTGTGTCGCTCTGGAAGTCTTCCTGTCGGTGCCTCTGAACTGTGGGATCATGGGTGGGCTGGGGGTTGGGATGCTGTGCTGTAGGAGGATATGGGGTGGGGGTCCTTTAGGAAACAGTGTGGTTGATGCCTCGTATCTCCTCCAGATCTTGAAACCTGCAAGTGCCCGCTCTCCAACCCAAGTGAGAACCCGGGGAAAATCCCTGTCCCCCCGAAGGAGACAAGCAAGCCCCCCAAGAAGGCTTGGCAGGCGAGACAAGTCGTGAGTAATATTCCTCTTCCCCAACACGAGGCTCAGCACACACATTTGTGGGGTTGTCCTAGCCTATGGTGACAAAGCTGTGTCCTGGATTTGGCATTTGAACAGACAATGATCCCCAAGAGAACTATCCTCAATCAAGGGTCAAATATAGAAAAGGATCCACTAGGCACATCCCCCCCATTACTCTTACCCTGCTGATTCTGAGTTGTGTACACACCCAAAGGGCCAAGCTCCAGATGGCCCTAGAGGAACAGCCTGGAAGCCAGGTAGAACCGAAGGAGCACTGGATCTAGATTTAGGAAACCTGGGTCTGGAACCAGCTTGGCCACTTAAGCTAAGACATGTGACCTTGGGCATGTCTTATAACCTTTCTGGATATATGTTTTGTCACCCATAAAATGAGATTGTTAGAATTTATGACTTTCCTAAAACTCTGTAGTCAACTGTACCCAGCAAAAGTATGATTGCCATCAGTGGATGGTGGCATCAGAAATACCCGCAGGCTCATCCTTTTCCTTGGCTAACCCTCCTGTTTTAGCCCCAGGACTAGCAATTCCACACCTACTTCTTAGGTCATAATGACCCACTTAAGATATGACAGATCAGAGCTGCCAAGGATGCCCAGAGTAACCAGCAATAATCCACTGGCAAACACTTGAGCTATAATTATACTGGGAGAAATGCTGCTTGAACCTCTGGCCATGACGGGGACAGTGCACACAGTCTTAGTTGAGTCCCAGCTCTGCCACAGATTGGCTGTGCAGCTGGATAGATCCTTGGTCCTCAGGGAACCTTAGTTTTCATCTATAAAAGAGAGTAAAAATGCATCCTCACCTATCTCACAAGGTTGTTGAAAGGATTCAGTTAGATCTTGTGACAAGAGTGACTTGGGAATGGTGAACTGCTTTTACACAAGCCCGTTAATCCTACATGGTAAGCAGGGAATGGTTTTACAATGTTTATTTTCAGATAAAGAAACCAGAAGACAAAAACGTGTTCATTATGTCCTATTCCCAGTAACTAGTCAAATATGAGCTGGGGCTCCTGTTTGGAGGCTGGAAAGAGACTTGAGAGGGGAGGTATCTTGACTAAAGTTTAAAATGGATTGAGTTAGATGAGGAGGGGCAATTCCCTTCTGGTTTTCTTTTTTTTCCGGGGGAGGGTGGGTGGGTACCAGGGATTGAACCCAGGGGCACCTGACCACGGAGCTACATCCCCAACTCTATTTGTGTTTTATTTAGAGACAGGATCTTGCAGAATTGCTTAGTGCTTTGCTGTTGCTGAGGCTGGCTTTGAACTTGTGATCCTCCTGCCTCAGCTTCCCGAGCTGCTTGGGATTACAGGCGTGCACCAATGTGCCCGACTCCCATTTTCTTTTAAACCTTGATATTTCTGAGTTGCAGATCCAGGGAAGGGGTTGTGGGGCTACTGGATATGGGGAGAAAAAAGAGGGACATGGATGAGAACAAAAAGAAGGGCTGCCAGAAGTGGGACGTACCAGAAGCCCACCCCAGGCCCCTCCTTCCCTCTCTAGATGTCAGCTCTGTCGTTGCTCAGACTAGATCCCAGCACATTCTGGCTCCCAGAGTTATGTCTGCAGAGAAACAGCTTCTCTGCTTCTGCCCATGGCCTTTACCAAGCAGGTTTTGCTTTTGGCAAGGAAGAAAGAGACAAGTATGACTATGAGTTTAAACTCCAGGAATCCTACCATGGGACAGTGGGCACCACAAAGAGTTTGGTGACCTTATTGTGCTATTATTTCAGCATTACATAAGGCCAGCAAGTCAGCTTTAAATGTGTTGGGTACCAGAGGGCAGCATGGGAGTGGCCCTAAGGATGGAAATGACCTTAACAGGCAAGAGGCCCATCAGCTGTGGGGTCCTAGCCCCTGTCTATGCATGAATAATTTTAGTGGCTTTATATCCCCAGCCATTTCCTCCCTACAGCTGAAGCTACTGAATTCCACTCTATTTTTGCACTTGTCTGAATAATCCCTTTAAAAAGGAGGATCCGTGTCACTGGGCTGACACAGCTGAGTGGGTGGGTAAGTGGAGATGACTGTATGAGCATCAGCTGAGACAGTTTCCAGGGGGAGACGGGGAAGCCCCTCCACCCATGCATCCTTTCTCCTACTCTGCTGCCCTAGGAACGTGTAAAGTATCTTCTACAGAGAAAGGTCAGTTCCCCCGCCCCATGGTTCTTAGAAAGGGTGATGGAGTTTGAGGTTCATGTATCAAAGTCCCTCTGTGAACCTAACCCAGCTCCTCCCCAGCTCTGGGCCTCAGTGCCCTCATAGCTCTTCACAGAGGTCCCTCAGTGGCGATTCAACTGGGGCCAGCTTGCAAAGAGCAGGGTTAGATGAGCAGTGGGAGATTTTGCCTCTCTGGTGGTAAGCAAGGACACTCTCCATTAGGTCTGGGGGACCAGGGATGGTTAAGGCTCTGCCAGGCCCAGGACCACCATGCCTCATAAGCAAGCTTTCACTGCACGTGTCAGTAGAGCCCCCACTGAGCCTGCGTGCATGTTCCCCGAGGTCCTTCCCATCTCTGACAGGTCACAACTCTCGGCTTGCTACCAGGGACCTGGGCCTGGGAGTGTAAGAGGGAGCTGATGGGAGTTTTCTGGCTTGGCTGGCTATGTTGGCAGTAGGGAGCACCTCCCATTGGAGTGACCACAAGGGAGAGTCTTCTTCATTGGGGCCAGTGTCCATAAGGACCCAAGAGAACCTCTTTGTTCTCTCTCTCCATATGGCTCCTTTCCCCTCCTCTGTCCCTCCCCTGTTCATGTTTCTTCTTCTATTTTTGTTTCTTCCTTTTTGATTTCCCTCTTTCATCATCCTCCCTGGCATCTGTGGCTCTAGTGGGCTCTGCTCACCCGATGGGAGACCCTCTGGGTCCCAGAGGTTACCAAGCCTCACCTCAAGATAAGGTCCCTTGGCCACAGGGTCACAGTTGGACAATGCAAATCCTGCTTCATTCTTTCAGGGAGGATTACACATCTCTAGGCTTCAGGGTGAATGAGGACAGAGGCTGTTTATGAAGTCATAGAGAATGAGTTTGATTCTGTGGTTTAATCACATTGAAGATATTGTTTTAAAATATGTTTTAGTTGTAGTTGGACACAATACCTTTATTTTAATTATTTTTTCGTGGTGCTGAGGATCGAACCCAGGGCCTCACACATACTAGGCAAATGATCTACCACTGAGCCACAACCCCAGCCCACATTGAAGATATTTTGAATAGGATCCTTCAGTGCAGTCATTCTCCTCAGATCCCAGACAAGAAAACATTCCCAGGATAGAAAGAACACTTCCTTAGAACAGAGTTAAAAAAAAAAAAAAGAAGAAGAAGACTATGGAGGAAAAGCAAACTTCCCAGATTATGTGAACAGAGCAGTCTCTACTCAAATGACTTACCCATTAGCTCCTCATAGGATTTCATATGACCCGGGGTCCCTAGGGACACTTGAAGAAACCAAGATGGAGCGGTGGGCCTTATCAGGACAGATCAGGTCAGGCAGAGTGAGCCAAGAACCTCTGTGAGCTCTGCAGGGTCACACAGGGTCAGGGTTCCTGGAGCTGGGATTCTGGGTCACAGAAAAGAGAGGTAACATCAGAGCCTGGAAGTGGTGCTGTGAAGTTTCAGACAGTGGCCTGTGGCTCTTGAACTCTGGCCAGAGCCTCCTGCCTGGGAAGGGCGTAAGGGATGGGCCCATTCTGTCTTGGCAAGGCCTCCCTGTTTACGTAACAACCTCAGCTGTCTGCCCCATTAGCCGCCAACGGTGGTGCCTGACATCCTGGGAAGCAAGGAATGTGAGGGAGGAGTGGACTGGTCTTGAATGAGGGTGACAGGTGTGAATGGACCCCTCTGCCCTCCCAGTGTTCTTCCAACTGACTCCATGTTTCTCTAGGGCCTACTCAGATAAGCCATAAATGCTAAATTGGGGTTTGGCCTGATCTGATTCCTGTCAGACCTGACAGGAGAGGAGGGCATGGGGTTTCTGTTTACAGTTGTAAATGCTGGGCCAGTAGCACCCTTAACATGGAGGACTAAGGGGTTAATGTTAGGGTGCACCTTTACCATGCATCCCTTCCAGGAATCCCAGGTCTGCATGTGACACGGCGGTACTGGTCCTCTTGAATGTGTGTGTGTGGGTGGGTCCTGCCAGCATGTGTGCCACACACAGCCCCTTGTCAGAGGGTAGAAGAGAGACTGGGGGTTTGGGAGTCCTATAAGCTTTCCTTCCACTTACTACTTCTTTTCTTTTTTCTTAAATATTTATTTTTTAATTATAGGTGGGCACAATAGCTTTGTTTTATTATTTTATTTTTATGTGGTGATGAGGATCGAACCCAGTGCCTCACGCAAGCCAGGCGAGTGCTCTACCCCTGAGCCCCAGCCCCAGCCCACATCTTTTCTTAAACCCAGCCTCAAGGGGACACACACCTCCTTGTATGTTAAGCCCTAGGATGTGGTGATGTCCCCACAGTCCCCAACATGCTGCCCTCATTTTCTGGTTCTGAGGCTTCTTGTGGCCTCACGGGTAGCAGTACTTAGACCGTGCTGATTGGTGTGCAAAGGACTCAGTGTGCCACTGTCAAAGCTCAAGTAGCAGTGGGCAAGAGCAGCCCAGAGGTGTTGTCCACATAATACCTTCTCTGTGGAACCACCACGCTGTCCTCCCCCTCTCAGCCTCTGACCTGTTGGCTCCCGGGATGCCAACCCACAGTCAGGGTTAAGGGTAGACCAGATGGGCCATCAGGCTTTTGCCTGAGTTCACCCTACTCTCACATTTATGTGAGAACAGATGAGGCTGGGCCCCTTGTTCCTCCCACAAAGGGAGTCAAAGCAAACAGAGTGTCACCCCTTCCCCTTGAAACAGAATGCTGCTCCAGAGCCTTGCAGAAGGGAAATCCTTTGATTCCCTTGCCATGTTTGGACTGGGAATGAGCCTGGAGAACAATGTTCAATCTAAAATAACCCGGGATCTGATGAGAGGTTTTGGGCAAGCACAGACTCAGCTGAATCATCATCCTGGTGTTCGTGTTTCTTAAAAATAACCCCTTGGCAATATTCTAAGTATAAATGGGGGAGCACTGGAAGAGGCCTCCACACACACCATAGCTCCCCCAGCTCTGGCCCTGAGATGAGCTGGCGAGGACTGAGCGCTATTTCTGGCTGCACCCAACAGGCAGGTGGCATGCTGTGATAACCCACTTCTATCCTTTGCCAGACCAGGAAGCTGCAGTCACTGCCACTGAAAGGAAAGGGTTTCATCTCCTGGGCAGTTCACCAGGAATCTCAGCCTCACTCTTCTTCCACCAGAATTAGCCTTTCTTCCCCTGGATCTGGAGGTCCAGGGGTGGCAGGCAGGGTGGGAATACAAAGGGAGGAGACACCTCGTCACTTTCCTTTAGGAGTACACAAGCTGTCTGTCATTACAGAACCATAGTCAGCTTACTGAGTAGGCAGGTTCCCTACATGACTTTGAGGAATAAAGCCTCTCTAATACAGAAGAAAAAATCTTCCCACTTGTTAATTCTTCAGATGTTGTCCTGGTAACTTGAATTCCTGGCTTAGGACTTGTTCAAATAAGATATTACATGATAAAAGTAGCGTATGAGGCCCTATCAGCCATTTACACATTAGGCTGGAGAGGTACATACTCAACAGAGGGACTCACAGATGAATTTACTTGGACCCTGCTCTCAATCCTTCAGTTTTCAAGGCACAAGGATTGTGAATCAGCAGGATTCTTGAACAGATGAATGTAAGAAACAGCAAATAGTGAATTGTCAGGAAATACTTCATGGAATAGGGGGCATTTGGGTTGGACCTGTAGGGATGACAAGATATGGGTGGGGAAGGGCATTTCAGACAGGACCAAATAGGCCAAGGTGCAGAGGCAAGAGTGACCATGGCATCCTCAGGTGCTTTGATTGGGGTGGGGGTGGGTTGGGGCAGCTTGCTCATAAGGCATGGGCTGCAGGTTCTGGCGACCAACCCTGGCCAGTGGTGTGACTCTGCTTGCGCAAATTCCCTAACTTCATTGCTTTCTCTTCTATAAAAGAGACAGTAACAGTATCAACCTTGGTAGGTTATGATGAGAATTAATAAGCCCAACCTCATAGAACAGTGCCTGGCACGTTGTATGTGCCTGATAGATTCAAGCTATTTATAAGTGATTTCTTGGCTCCTGGAAGACACAGGGGAATTGGTGGAGGTGCTAAGGAAAGATCTAGAAAAAGGAGGCCAAAAACTCGCAAACTAAATTTCATCTATTTTCAGATGTGCCAATAACAGAACCTGGATAAAAGTAGAGTGAAATTTTAGGAACTCATGAACTGTGAAAAGTATGGTGAAAATCCTGTTCCTCAGGTCTGAGGAGCTCCAAAGTGACTGGCCAAAAAGTGACTTCTCTGTGGTGGCCTATGGCCAGTTAGCTACAGTAGACACAGCAAGCCCACAGTTCAGGAACCAGGGGGCAAACTTTGTCTTATTGACCCTGTCCTGTAGCCTGTTCTGGCCACTGACTTCCCAGGAGATGCTGTTGGGCACAGGACTGGGAGTGAACAGCCAGTATAGATCTATTTCAATACCTGGAAAATATTAAGCTAGCATCTTACTGGCAGTATTTTCATACATGAAGGGCAACTTATTTAGCTTCAGAATGAGAGGTGCATCTTGGTATTGAGGATGATGCCAGGCCAGAAAGAAAGTGTGCACTTGAGCTGGGCATAGTGACGCACACCGGAAATCCTGATTATCTGGGAGGCTGAAGTTGGAGGCAGCCTAGACAACTCAGACCCTGTCTCAAAACAAAATGAAAAGGGATAAGGCTGTAGTCCAGTGATAGAATGCTTGCCAGTATCTGTATGACCCTGGTTTAATTCCCAGTACCACAAAAATAATGTACCTGAAAGGTTCTAGGGCTGGGGCTGTAGCTCACTGGTAGGGAGCACATGCTTACCCTGCTTGAGGCCCAGGGTTCAATCAGTGGTAGGTTGGGCAAGGACTCTGGAGCAAGGGATTCTCTTGTTAAGCATAGGAACTGCTTACTTTCCAGGGACAACAGGAGACCCAAGGAGCCACCATGACTTAGGTCCTACATTGTTTAGCAGGGTTACAGGGAAGACAACTGACCCTGAGAAGGGAGTGTGTCTCCTGACTTCACTTAGGTACCACCATTTCTCATGAGTGGAATTATAACTTGCTAGGAACAAGTTCTAACTCCACACACTAACCTTCCTCAGGCTGACTCAACACCCATTGTTACCAGCATTGGGTGTGTATAGCAATTTTGGGTTAATGGAGGGAAATGGTATCAACAAGGATCAGGTTTAGCTGTGGATAATGTGGGGTTGGAGATGATGACTTACAAGATTCCCTATTACATGAAAGCAGCTCAACCGAAGTGGTATGGGGCTTCTTACTGCTCTGACTTCTTTAGTGACCAACTTGAGGTTCAAGCTCCACATCACTTCCACATTGTCCTCAGCAGGAAGTTAGAGGGAAATAAAAAGATGAAAGGCACATGCCAGTTGTCTAAGAGGAGACCTGGTAGCCGACTGCCACACACTTCCACTTCCATCTCATTGGCTGTGTGTCAGCCAAACCCCGGCTGGCTACAGGAAGACTAGGGGATGTAGTTTGTATTCTAGGCAGCCAGGTGTTCAGCTAAAAGTTGGGGGCGGGGATTTCTCACAAAGGGGAGAGTTGATATTGAGGGGCAACTAAGGCTGCCACACACAGATCATTGAAAACATCAGTTAAAAAATCATCTATTACAAATGTAGTTTCGATTGGGATGAGGAGAATGTGCTTTTTCATAGTTACACCACCAGAAAAAGTGGTGTCCATATTTTAGTTGCTTTAGGAAATTACTTTTATTTATTCCTTCTCTAAAGTAATGAATTGCATATACATACTTCTGGCTTCTCCCTGGGCAAGTGTATTTTTTATTACTGAATTTTCTTAAGAGTAGAACATGCCAGGAAGGTGAGAAGTTGACTTACCTTTCTGAACACGTGTCTTAGGCTGATACTAATGTATGGAGAGAATGCTTTGAGGGAGAAAGTCTCAAATTAGCTGTTTGTAAAGATATCATCTCAGGCAAGGAGACAAAATAGAGGCTTCACTTCAGGCTTTCTGACAAAGTGAACAAGAAATATATGGACTCTTTAAACCTGATTTGTAAGAACCAAAGTTCTCTCCACATCAGCGGGCTGAGGACTAGGGCAGAAATCTAAGTTTGAATCCTCAAGCAAAACTGTGTTTCCTTTAGCTGTCAACCCAAGCAGGGCCCTCACTTGGGAACTGGAGGCCACTCTTCAGGCCTGTGGTAGTGGTCCTATTTAAAGGGAATGGCTGAGGACTGGAAACCTTGGGCTCTTTGATAAAAAAAAAAGCAAGAGTCTACACACAGTGTTGGTATTCTACCAGCAGTCAACTGTATTTATTAGCATTGTGGGTGAGCCCCAGGAACCATAAAAGACACAAAGAAGAAGGAGGCATGGATCTTGACTGATAAAGCAGGACATGTTGTCTAGCTGAGAAATAAGCCCATGCAATACAGAGAAAATAAAGATTACACTTTTTGTTTTTTAGTGGGGCCAAGTTCCAAGTCAGGGACGTTTCTGAAGTCAAGTTTCAGAGAAGAAGGGTCATGGACTTAATAAGGTCAAGAAGGGAAGTACAGAATTTATTGGCAGTGCTTAACACCATTCATTGAGCTGAGCTGACTGAAGCTGGAAGTTTATTTCTAGGTGAATAAACTGGGCTATCTTCCTGCCAGGGGAAAACCATTTGCTGTTAGGAAAACTTTCAAAGGTATAAACTAAGAAATTTTTTACATTTATATTTTATTTTTTATAATTATGAACAAGGTTCATATGTAACCTAAAATATTTTTTTTGTAAAAATGACCAAATGTGAAGCTTTTAGATTAGAAATCACTAGACATTAAACATCCCAAAGCTGGTTTATAGTCTTGGTTACTTCTTATCCAAGGTGAGAAAGAGGCTCATTAGGAATAGGAAAAATTGCAAGATAAACCACAAAAAGGCTTAGGCACTGTTATATTAGAAAGTCACTTAGAAAATGTCTTTAATGACAACAGATGATGTGCTACTAAGTGATTTCTACCACCTCCCCCCAGCTTCAAGTACTTTCTTACATAAATACATAGGCATAGTTTTATATTGATATTGGAAAGTACTTTAGAGAATGTTTCTTAGGAAAGAGACATGCTTTGCCACTGAATAACTTCCATAATGACATGTTCTTTTCAGATAAATTTTGAAAAATTCACCTTGATTTTATATATTCAAGTCTGGAATATAAACCCTCTGTCAATGGTAACTGGGATCCTCTCCCAGAATCTGGGTCACCTGAGTCACCCTGTAATATCTGAGCTTCCTTGGAGACACAAACGCTAGGAAATCAGTTTCCAGGAGAATTCCACTTTCAGTCTGTGGCATATGTGACTTTTTAGACTGTTGCAATGTATAGCGGAACTGGGTTTCAAAAGTTATCATGGGACTCCATTGTCTTACAGCTGAAAAAGTTCATTCAACACCCTGAAAATTTTTGATTTCTACATTAAAAGCCTGCTAGAATGTTCCTTAAAACCTATAAAAGCAGACCTAAGAACAAGAACCAGAATTGGGAGCTAAGGCTAGTAGAGTGGGGGTGGAAGGTGGAAAAAGACAAGGATCAGAAAGGTCAGGAACTCTGAGTAGAGGCCCTTGAAGATGCTCATTATCTTTCTTTGCCCTGTCCCCTCTCTCCCACCATCTTCCTGTCTTTTAACTTTAGACCTGCTCTGCCTGAAAAGAAGGTGGCTGACCTCAGCACTCTGAATGAAGTGGGCTATCAAATCCGAATCTAGCCAAGCCATACCGGGCAGCAAGAGGGTTTCTGTGGTGCTTCTCTCTGCACTTTACCCAGCATCTTCAGGAGGAACTGCAACTATTATTTATTAAGAACTTGAAAATTTTATTTTTAAGGATTCACCTGGAAACAGAATCTGAGTGGGTGGGGATAATTAGCTTTAAAAACTCTGACCATGAAAAGGCTAAAGTAATAAACCCCACTGGGGCTGGACTGTCTCCCTCACTAAAGATCTCAAGGATAACAAACATCCACAATAGTTTTATATTTTTCCATTTACTGACTTTCTTTTACTTGCTTTGAACATTATGCCTCACCAGTAGTAAATGTTCATAAATCCTCTCCCACTTTTGGTATAGTAAGGTAACTCAATCAGTATTAGTCTTTTTCAGCAATAACAGAAGCAAAGAATGGTGGGTTTTTTTAAGCAGTTAATATTACCTCAGCCTTTTGACATTAGATATGCAAACTTAATGGTATTTTGGTTTTTTATATTCTATTTGTATTGTTTCCCCAACATTCCCCATGGGGATCTCCACAAGTTTGGAGTTTTTTCCTGGTGCACACACGTGATGAGATTTAAGGTATTTTATGCAGGTGTTTTATTAAAAAGCACTGAAATTCTCCTGGCAATACGGGAAACCATTTTTAGGATCTTGGAATTACTTGTTTCTTAAAACATTTGCTGAGAGCATTTTTTGTTCTTTCAAAACAAAACAAGCACAGTCAAAAGCTAGTCTATGTTCTGTCACTAACATTTAAACTTTGCAGAGTCTGGCAAAATAGGACATGAGGTCATACACTCCTTCCACAAATTTAGCAGTATTGAGGTTACAATCTCTGCCAGCAACACACTCAACGTCAGAGAGACAGGAATGAATCGGGGGTCCTGAGAACCTGATAACCTTTTCTCTCACATTTCATCTGATTTTTAAACTCTTGAGTTAAGTTTTGATTCTGAAGAACTTACCATTGTTAAAGATGTGTTCTGATGTCTTATATTAAGGCCAAATGTGATACAATATGATTTTTTTTTTTCCAGTTCTTTGCTTTTAGATACCTCTCATGACAATTTGGAAGTACTGGAAAAAATCTATGGATTAGCAGAACATTTTTCTTTCTTTTTTTTTTTTTAGAATGGAAGTCTTCTGGTACAATGTTACATATGAAAGTGTAATTTAGTCCATGGGCACAGAATGCACGTCTGGCCGCATTTAACAGTTATGGTGTAACTTCTGGCTGCAGACCAGAGCAGTTCTGAGGGCAGACATGTGTAATCTGTGTTACAAATATCAAGAGCAGAACTTCTATTTCATTTGTTTTATCTTAGCAACCATGCTAACTTGTAAGACCAAAGGACATATTTAAGTCAAGTCTGATTAAGCTTGTCAACAAAAGTGTTAGTTCAGTGTTTCTCCTTTGGCTTTGACTAAAGGTAGTTGAAAGAAGGGAGTTAAAAAAAAAATAAAGGTAAGAATCTGTTCAGTGATAACTTATACCAATAAAACCTCTGGGGGGTGTCATGAAAGCACAAGGGATTCATCCTTTAGCTCACTTTACCCTAAAAATCAGTATTATTAATGAAAGTACTGCTGTTCTGGAAAAGGAAGTCTAATGTCCCTTAGTGACCAAATAAGTATACATTTCACGTAGACTAATAAATGCAGCATGAGAGAAAATTCGGAACAGTTTTTAAGAATAGTTTTTTTGGACTAGGGCTATAGCTCAGTGGTGAAGCACACTCAGCACATGCAAGGTCCTTCCTGGGTTCAATCCCAAGCACCAAGGGGAAAAAAAAATGATGCCTTTTTATCTTTACACAGTATATTCACTGGCAGTCTTCATGGCCCATGTGTTCTGATGCTCCAAGTAACCAGTGAATCATTTCATTCTCTCTCTGAAACAATACCAATTTCGCCATGTATCTTCTATTATCCATCTGAAACTTTATTATAAAACTTTATTATAAACAGACTGCTCAATCAACTGTAATGTCAGAAGAGCTTAGAATAGCATTTGCCAAGTACTACTTAAGGATTATCCCATCCCAAACACAAAATGTCAAATAGTTGCAGAGCCTCTTGTTTCTCCCAAGAAAAGGTAAAAGAACAGGAATATAAAACTGTTCCCAGTATGCTGATGTATAAGCCTTAAAATTGCCAACTGGCCTGATGATTCAATTAGCAACCTAATTTCTTTGACATTCTGTGATTTTTAGATTCATTTTTCTTAAGTAAGGGTTACTCACAGCAACATGTAAACTTATTTAAACTGTTCACAGTTGTCATTTTACTTCTATTGCCTACAGAATATGTTAATTTTGAAAAGATATAGGAAAGTCACCAAATCCTAAATTCTAATGTAATAATTAAAAAAAATAATATTATGGCAAAAACCCCAAATAAGCAACCAAACAACAAGCCCAACATGTTTTACCTCTCAAAACTGATTTTAAGAATAGCTGTAATTCAAAAGATAAAAAATTAAGTTACAAGATGATTTGGAGTCTAGTTTTTAAAGTTATTATGCGAGAGAAATTTTATGCTTAAGCCACATGGCATTATATGCAAAGTTTAAATGAATGACAGAAATTTTGATCTGAGACTATGTTGTGATGTTTTGAGTACACTTTATTTCAGAAAGTGATATTTAGTATTTTCTATACACACTGAAATCATGAGCATTTCACTTTTTCTAAGTCAATTATTTCATAAGGATTTTATTAATAGATATTGGTAAATAGAACTTTGGAAATCTTAATTCAGTATTCTTACTATACCTGAGGCTTTTGTAAGCTATAGTTTTATGTACAACCTTGTACAGTTTTTTTGACATACTATTGAAATCTTGTTTATTCTCCTGAACTTTGTTCTGGCCAATACATTTTTTTTAAATCTTTTAAGAAAATCTGTGATTGTTTTAGTGGGTATTTTTCTAAGTAAACGAAAACTTGTATAATGGTATTTTAGAGAATGCCAGATAAGTGCATGTTTCAAGTTAATGTTTTTCTCATCACTTGTATGTTTATACATAGCATGGAAATTTAATAAAACCATCCTGGAAACTTAACAATTGTGTTCTTTTTTTTCCACTAAAAATATCAGATGGTACAATTTTATTCCTTGGTCCTCTATTTTGGCATCTTAGCTTGTAGCATTACCCCAAGTAGTAATAAAGGCTGAACAGAGTATTGAACTACTTTTGAAGAGGCCAAAGGCCAACTTGTGCAGCTTAGTACATCTACCACAAAACTTTCAGGCACCAGATGTACAATTCTAATAATTTATTACATAATTTACAGGTACAAAGTGCAAATGACTTGACTCCTCCATTTCCCCAAGCCCTTGAACTCTCTGGCTCCCAAATAACTTTGATTATTATTTATTTTTTTAAGGAAAGCAAAGTGTTTAAAGCAGACAGTTGTTAAATTAAAAAAAAGAGACAAGATTTCTAACATGCATATTATCTTGATATTAAAACATAGAGTAAAATAGAAATTTAATTATTTCACAATCTCCCTTTGCTTGAATAGTATATAACACTTTAGACTGTGAGATTTGGTTTCTGCAATTAACGATTGTTTTTGGCAGGTAAAAATGAGGATCCAGAAGCATTACCAACTCTAGTGGCTAAAAAAAGGAAAGACAAGTAGATAATTACTTTTCAGTGGAGCTTTAAAAGCTTGTGAGAAAGTTATAGTGACCTGTTGGCTTCTGGTCCACAAAATAACACTTCATTGATAAGTTAAAATAGAAAGCAATTTTATGGATTAACTCTTCTCAAAGTGAAGCACATGAAATGGGCCAAAATTCACAATGTATTTATTAGGATATAAAATTTTCACAGAGGTTTTCAGGGATATTAGATTGCTAAAAATGACCTACATATAATAAAGTTATTTTAAAATAAATTCATTCAACATGAAGCACTAATCAATGAATTTTCATTTTTATTTCCCCAATACTGTAAAGAGATTCTATTATCATTATAATTTTATAATGATAATTCTATTAACATTATAATTTGATGATGACTATATCTGTTAATCAGGACCTATATTATTCTACACACTACTAAAAAATGAGGAAAATCTTTGAACTATAGTTGACACTAAATAAAAAATTAAAAAAGAAGGGCTTGGGATGTAGCTTAGTGGCACAGTACTTGCATAGTACATGTGAAGCACTGGGTTCAATCCTCAGCACCACATAAAAATAAACAAAATAAAGGCATGCTATCCATCTACAACTACAAAAAAAAAAAAAAAAGTAAGCAATTAAACATTTCAAAGTACTCACTTATTACAGATTTTAATAGATAAATTTTTATCACCTGCACATCTTCTTGGAGGCTTTCATCTGGTTTATTTTTTAAAAATAATTGTAGCAAATGATTTAGTACAAAAATTTTAAGTCCAAGACTATTATGTTTTTTTTCCAACTGAAGACAAGACATTCTAGTAATAAAATTCACTGTAAAAATGTTTATAATTTAGTGAAAAATGACTACTTAGCAAAAATGTTTATAATCCATTGATCCTACTCTCTACAAAATAAAATTTTAACTTTTTGTGTTTTAAAATTTTTTGATTCAAGGGGCTGGGGCTGTAGCTAAGTGGTACAGTGCTTGCCTAGCACGTGTGAGGCCCTGGATTTGATCCTCAGCACCACATAAAAATAAATAAATAAAACAAAGTTGTCCATATACAACTACAAAAAAAATTGTTTAAAAAAATTTGTTTTTGATTCAAACACATAGAGCCACCTACAGGATTTTATCAGACCTCATAAAAACCTCTCATAATCCACTCATAAATAAGCACCAACTTTCACTGGTGCACCACTATAAAACAAAATAAAGGTGGGCTCAGTAGTACACACCTATAATCCCAGCAGGCTTGGGAGGTTGAGGCAGGAGGATCTTGAGTTCAAAGTCAGCCTCAGCAACTTAGCAAGGCTTTAAGCAACTCAGCAAAACCCTGTCTAAATAAAATATTAAAAAGGGCTGGGGATGTGGCCCAGTGGTTAAGCACCCCTGGGTTTAATCCCTGGTACCAAAAAAAAAAACAAAAACCACTGAAACTGATGGCTTTTTAAAGAGCTCTTCTAGAGAATTAGGTATCCAAGTTGGTATCTCCCCTAGAGTTTTACAACTTTCTTAGAACCCTGATAGCTGCTACTTTGTTCTGATGAATTTTCCTAATAATATATAGTTCTACAAAATCAGTTCAGTAAAACAGAATCTCTCCCCTAAATCAGGGATCTTTTCTTTTTTTGTGGGGATCATGGAAGGTACTGAGAACTGAACCCAGGGGTGCTATACCACTGACCTGTATCTCCAGACCCCCCTTTTTAATTTTAATTTTGAGGCAGGTTCTCTCTTAAGTTACATAGGGCCTTGCTAAATTGCTGAGGCCTCAAACTTGCAATTCTCTTACCTCAGCCTCTGAGTCACAGGCATGTGCCACTGCACCTGGCCCCACAGATCTTTTCTTACAGAAAACAGAAAAACACAAAGAAAATCCTAGGTAAACAAAGGTATAACTCAAGTCCACTACTTTTAGGTCCACCTATATCTGTTATGGGGTGAAAAGAGTAGACTTATAAGACCTCATCCTCTTATGGTGACCTACATTTCCCAAACCTTTTCTCCAAACTACAGGCATATCACATGGCTCAGGACAATAATAAGAAGGATTAAGCATTCTGTACAATTTAAAAGCATTATTACCTTCAAAAACTAAAATGGTAGGCTGGATACCTGTGAATGACCTGATGATTTCTGAGACAGCCAATTGGGACTCAAAACACATAGAGTTCTCCCAAAGAAATCATGCCTACAGGACAGAAACAAATTGTGGTTTGCAAGAACTCAGATATTCTGGATCCACTTAAAGCTTTCCAAAAACATGAAATGAAATTCTTCACTAAACAGACTAAAGAAGATGCACTATATTTTAAAAACATTGTCAACTTTACTAAGATTTAGAATAAAAAATATTTACACATCTTTTATAATAAAGAGTATTTACATCTCAATTGTCAGGAAAATATTTTTCATCATTAAAAAAGAAAATTGTTGTAAACTTCTTTCTTCCGATATCTGTTTCAAGCACTTGATCTCTTCAGAAACTCCACAGCACAAAAATAAACATGCAAAAGCCGAAGAACAACTTTATAGTCTTTGAAAAAGAATATAACCAGAAAGAAAATTATGTATATAATCAAAGAAGAGTCAGAGCTCAAGTCTGAATTTAGCCAATAAAGGCAGATGATCTGAAGAGTTATTTTCATTTGGAAGTCCATTAACAGTCCATAAGTCTTGTTCTGTAAGAAGTGACAGTCTAGCTAGAAGTTTCAAGCCACCAACCAAAGCAACTTCAGCTCCTACATTAAAGAAGCAGATAAATGTTTAGTGAAACTGTGTCAATGAGTTATTGTAAATTAATTACACAAGCCTTTTTTTCTAAACAGTGACAAAGAACTTGAGACTCCCACAAAACACTAATATGAAAGTTTTTAGAATGACTAATTGTTTTATTGAGTTATAACAATAATTCTCAAACTCACAGCAGTTTCTGATATTATTTGTACTTCAAATACATTTTTCTATTTTAAGTTTTGCAAATAATCTTTAGAGGAAAATATTAATGTAATACATAAAAAATGTTAAGAGTAATTTCAGATTGATAACTACCCAATAAATCATCCACCAATCATTTTGCAATTGCAATAAAACCAAACAGATCCAACCACACTTATATAGGAAGCTTATCAGGTAACTGGAGAATAAGTATAATTTACAATTTACTCCCAGAAAGGCTGCCCCCACAGAAGTAAAACATGACACGCTCTCAACTGTGAAGAGATTTGAGATGCTGATCCATGATACTCTCCCGCCACCTAGTGAACTTTTGTAGGCATGACATCTTCCAGAACCCTATTATAGCAAGCTATTTCATAAAATTGATTTTAATAGGAAGAGTAAGCTATCTCCTGAGTGTTACTAATAAAGTAATCCCCAGAAGGAAGGGGAGGTAAAATAAAACAAAACAGGAACAAAAGGGAAAATATAAAAAAGCACACATATACACACAAAAAAGAAGAGAGCTAGGCATGGTGGCCCACACCTGTAATCCCAGCAACTAGGGAGACTGAGACAGAAGGATCACAAGTTTGAGGTCAACCTGGCCAACTGCCAACTTGTAAGACTCCATCTCATAAAATAAAAAGTGCTAGGGATGAGAGACAGAGAGAGAGAGAGAGACAGAGACAGACAGGAAAATCAGGAGAAAAAAAAAAAAAAGCTGTCCACATTTAAAACTGCCAAAAGTTCTACTTTATATTCTGATTATTTTAAATTCTCCATTTAATATCCTTTGATTAATGTATACAACCTGATTTTCACTTGAGTCATATAAGGAAAGATGTTATCACTTTTGCTTTTTAGAAACACATAGTCACGCTTTCTTCCTCAGAAAGATCCAATATTCCAAAGTCAATATACAAAACTGTTGTTGGCAGGATAAGTGTGGTCCTACAACAAAGGCAGCATGCCTTAGTAAATCTTAACCACAAAATTGTATGATGACCATTGACAATTTATTCAGTTACTATCAACTACGGATATAATTTTTAAATAATTTCTTTGGAGTACTTTCCTGCTTTCCATCATATGCAGGCAAGTAACTGATTGACACCATCAACTGTTTCTTTCAGAATATTTTAACTTCTAAATCTGGAACTTTATCTAGAGGTTTAGCTAACTTTCTTAACTTCAGCCTTGGAGTTTTAGCTACTGGGCTCTCTATCAGAGTCAGGAATACATACAGTTTTTACCTGGGTGCCTAGCAACATCTTCTTTTTCTGCAGAGTAGAAAATATAATCCACAGTTATGGCACTTCGAGAATGACAAGTGGTAACTTCTGGAATTCCAGTGTCAGGAAAGAAATGTGAATAAACGGATGACAAGCTGAAATGGTGCTGTAGGTTTGAAGATAATCTAAATTGAAAAGAAAAAGCATTCAGCATCCATCAAGTTTTTCAAGCCTCCTATTTAAAGTACTTTTTCATTCAATTTCTACATTAAGACCAGACATTAGGACAAGTTTTATATATGCAGACCATATCATAATTTAGCATTCACTTATGCAGTGATATTCAAAATCCAATATATCAATAACCAACATACTAATGAAACTATTTATGTTCAAAAGCCTTCACTTGATAATTAACATGTATTCTAAGACAACTTTCATTTTTTGTTGTTGTTGTATTTTTAAGAAAGAAAAAGACTTCTGACATCAGAGGGACCACGTTTTTCTGTTATTCTTGCTCTGATGTATGAGATAACTTCAGGCTGCATCTGAAGTCAGCTTCTATAATGGCTTACATTTACTATAAATACATGTGATGTTATGGGCAAAGGGTTTAAAGATCATTTTCTAGTAATACATCATAAATTTTAAGGATCATTTATGCCATGAAGAAAAATAAAATCTTCAGAACATTTTGAAAATTCATTCAACAAACATTTATCAAACATCTAATAAATTCTAGGCACCATCTTAGGTGCTGAGGCTACAGATAAAAATGAGGTTTTAATGTGGTTTTGTTTTTGATGAGCTAGTATGTCAATAAATAAAGATAATTCCTTGGAATTGCTCTTAACTTCCAACTTTTAGAAACATCTTATGTTCAGGAACATATATTTACAGAATTATTAAATGTAAATAGGTTTTCTGCAAATTTTCATCTTACCATAAATTTTTCAGTTTACAGATAAAAGCTGTACATATAAATGCACTGCATTCATGTGCAGATAGTCAACCTATCTTTTCTCATACTCCATCTTATTTTAAAACAATTTAAGAATTACTTAAAATTATTACTTGTTAGGTTAATCTTCTTTATTTTTTTTTTCCTTTAATACTGGGGATTGAATCCAGGGTCTCACACATGCTAGATAAACTCTACCACTGAGCTATATCCCCAGCAGCCATCCTCCCACACCCCACCACCCACTTTTTTTTTTAAAACTTTGAGACAGAATCTCTCTCACTAGTTGCCCAGGCTGTGGGTCTTATTAAGTTGCTTAGGCTGCCCTGGAACTTGTGATCCTCTGGCCTGTTGCTGGGCTTGCAGGTATGTACCACCACAGATGGCTAAATATTCCTTTTTGAAAACCAAAAAACTGCTTCCTTTCTTACTGAGTTTTTATGATGTGAGAATATGTTCTCAAAACAAGGTATACAAAATAAAATTAAGAAAGCAGATAAGGGGACTAGGATTGTGGTTCAGTGGTAGCGCACTCGTCTGGCATGTGTGAGGTACTAGGTTTGATCCTCAGCACCACATAAAAATAAATTAAAAAAAACAAAGGCATTGTGTCCACCTACAATTAAAAAAATATTTAAAAAACGGATAAAATGTAGGAGAGATGCTCCTAATTAGGTTCCTAAGTTAAAATGTTAAAACAAAAACTTATTCACAACATAAAACAATCAAAATATTTCAAAAATCTCCCAAAGAGATAAGACATAGATCCCTGTCTTGTTATGCTAACATGAATCCATTTCTCAACCACAGCCCGAAACATTAATGTTTCTTTAATAAGGAATCCAGGCATCTTCATCCGCTGATGTTCTTTTCCTATAGTTCAAGATATTATAAAATTTCTCTTTTCTAATGGTATACTCTTTTTTTTGGATCAATTCTCCTGTAGACTGTTTTGAGATCTAGTAAGTCAAAGAACACTAAGGATCCTCCTGAAAACCAAAAAATATTTTTCTGCAACCTTGACCTTTGTTTAAATATGAAATGGCAATAAATTTCAGGGTACTTGAGCTGGTCTAGGTCCTTTCATAACACCAACTAAGCATTAAACATTAAGCTGTATATATTTTATCTCTGTGAATCCTCACAACAACCCAAATTATATATCAGGAAACTGAACCTCAGAAATGTTAAATATCATGTGCAAAATCACACCACTAAAAAAGCAGCATCAACACTATCTTCCTTTTTTATCCAAGTGTTTTTTTGAGAAATATTTTTTTATTCAACTGAAGTCAGGAAGTGCCCAACTGCTTTCCAGAACTCACTTTTCAGCTGTTTCTAGGACCTCTGTTTTCTCCAGCTGTGTTTGTGTAGGATCACTATCTGTAAGAACAAAGAAATGTATTAAGCTTACTTACACATTCTTTTGTTCTAGTTTGTCTTAGTATAGTCCTCTTACTACAGAATGATATTTAAAAAAACACATCTAGTTTAAATTCTACTCTGCTACCTGCCACCTTACGTGTTTTATCCTGGAGTCTGTTTTGATAGTCTCCAGAATTAGGAAAAATAAAATGCAGGGTTGGGGTTGTATCTCAGTGGTACAGCACTTGCCTAGGATGTGTGAGGCTCTGGGTTCGATCCTCAGCACCGCATACAAATAAATAAATAAAAATAAAGGTATTGTGTCCAACTAAAACAAAAAAACATTTTTTTTTTAAACCAACCAACTTTTTTTTTTTTTAAAGAGAGAGAATTTTTTAATATTTATTTTTTTAGTTTTCGGTGGACACAACATCTTTATTTTTTTATTTTTATGTGGTGCTGAGGATCGAACCCAGCACCCTGCACATGCCAGGCGAGCGTGCTACCGCTTGAGCCCCACAACTTTTGTTTTTAATAAAATAAAATGCAAACATTTCAAAGGCAACATAACATGCAAGTAATCATGCATATATAATTTTGGAAGTTCAACTTTACAAGGTAAATTTAAAGCTCTTTGAAAAAAGGAATGAGCAAAATAGATAAATACTTATACATATATATGAATATTCATCCCTGAGATGCTATTCCTTTAAAATTTTCATCTTACAGCTTCAAAAGAAATACTATTGCCCAGCAGACTGCCAAAATGTACTGCAAACGCTTACCTGTCTTTTCTACTTTTGGTACCTGCTGTACCTCATACACACAGTTCTGTGAGATACCTAGGTTTGGGGGCCAAATTGGAATAGATAAAATTCTTTGTCCCCGTGAAGACTGTTCCTGGCCAGATACCTAAACAAAATTTCAACAGGTATCTTAGGTGAATAGATTTTAAATAATTTATGTATTGAAAAATTTATGTCTTAAATAAAAGGTAATCCAAAAATAGTAAACATTACCCATTATTCATTATGTTAAGTAATTATCTGTGCTTATAAAAATCATGTTCAAATACAGTTCAGAAAGTACTTATTTATATGAAAACAAGTCTTTTCCTATATACACATTTTTCTCTAATTTAAACATCCAAACCATTTAAAGCTTTGACTAATATTGCCTCTCCTTTTTTGCTACCTGCAATATAATTCCTATTATATCAAATACTAAGAGGATCAATTCTTTAAATTTATGATTACTCAAAACTCCAGGAGTATAGTTTACTTTGGTTAAATATACTGAAGATCACATGATTAAAGCAAAGGAAAGCACAATAAAAATAATAGCACCAGATAAATTATTATAAACTAAAGCATTAAAATATTACTCATTATGTAGAGGAAAATATAATGAAGACTAGTTTTGCTAAGAGTGTTGCCTGTATCCAGCATTCAAAATTCTATCCTGCCACCTTATGAACAGTTCTTTATTTGTGAGGTATTCATGTCTGGCAGTTTTTTTCCCCTATTTTTCTTTCTTGCTTGCTTGCTTGCTTGCTAATTCCTCCAAGCAGAATGTTGCTACAGATGCACAGAAAAGATAAAATTAACCAAGTGAATAAAGACTGATTAGGAGTTGTGGAAAATCATCACAGCTTGGTAAAGTGAGATACTGGATCATCCAAGGTTTTTTCTAACAGCCACAAGATGACTATCCTCACATTACAATGAATGGAGCAACTACCCACCTCTTAACAATGGAAAAGTGAGCACTTACCTTTCCTATGGCAAGTCCTTCATAATTCAATTTTCCTTCCTTTATGAAACTATAGAGTGGAGAACCAGGAACAGAATTAAAGTCACCACACATAACAATAGGACAGAAACTGCCATCTTTCTGATGTGCAACACTGGAAATCTCTGCCAGCAGCATTGCCAATTGAGTCAGCTTAATATCTCCTCTCCTTGGATTATACAATAGATGTGTATTAGCTACACAGATCGAAGGAGAGGTAGCACATGGAATTTTGGGCTGCAAGAGTAAAACTAATCCAATATTGTCTCTGTCCAAGAGAGGAATATCAGGGCGGAAGAATTCCACTGGATTCACTGATAAGAGCGAAAATTTGGAATGCTTGAAGCAAATGGCACAGCCATCAGGTTTCCTTCCTGTCCGCATCTTATATTCACAGTGATAACCTACAAGAAAGAAAGAAATGTAAAACAAGGAACTGTTTATATATGTCAAAACACAGCTCTTATAATATTTCTCAACAATGTTTAACAAAGTGTATTCTGCAGAACATTAGTAATATGGGATATAAGTAAGTGCTGGAGTCCAAAAAGATTAGCACTGGGTTTAATAGATCTCTTTACTGGCTGAGTTAAGTCCTTACTATGCTAATGTGCATGATCATTCTCTCAGTTACAAGTCATGACAATGACAGTAAGGCTCTATAATCATCTCCTCTCTCTTCACCTCATCTCTAATCTTTCAGCCAATAGCTCTTTCCCCTTGCTCTGTTCCTATCTCCAATTACCTGTCTTCCTGCTGCCTGGAATGTTCTAGGTATGGCTTGTTCCTCTTTTTCAAGTCTTTGTTAAAATGTCACTTTGATCATTTTGATTAGAATTGAAATCTCATTCCACTTTCCTACATTTCTCTAGATAAGTATCTCCTGATATATATTATAATTCTAAGTGTGTGCTGTACAAGGGAGGAGACATTTTACCTGTTTTGCCCAACTCCACTGTCTAGAACAGTGCATAGTATATAGTAAGCACTCAAAATTATTTGCTGACTAAATAAATATAAAGCAGGTACATTTCTCAATCTATATGACCAAAGATGACCTGTTTCTAGAAGTGTTTATTCATTAAACAGGTTTTAAGCTTTTATCTATGAAGTACTAGAGGCTCTGCTATGTCATGAACTAGGCAGAATCATCCCTGATCTCATGGAGATCAGAATATTAATATTCTGGTGGTAAGCACAGCAACTGCTGGGAATACGAACTATTAAACATATTCTGATATACCTATCCCTTTGAATTAAAACTACATATCAACATTAAAAAGGTTCCCATTGAAATATGTATTTTTGACCTTCTGAAAATAGGTATTTACATTTTCAAAATTAAAAATTTTAGCTTACATCTTACATCTTTCTTAGCAAGTTATGCTTAATAATACACAAATCTTCAAAAGTAAAAGTAAATTTGGCTAAAGTAAAAGTTACATTGTACCCAGTGATTCCAAACTTGGCCTGATTTCTGTTCCATAATGATCTTCTTGAACTTCTTGCAAACAAAGTACCTTGGAAGAAAAAAATAGCTTGAATTAAAACACAGAAATGCAAATATGAATTTTCTGGTGCTTTCACCTTTAAAAGGAGGTTTCATAAATTCTAAACCTGGTGGGAATTGAAAAAAATGACTTAAAATCCCTTTTTCCTGTTATTTTTAGATTTAACAAATTAATGTTTCCCAATTTGACCAATCTCAAAACTCTGGCCTTTAATCTTGGAGCTTTCTTTCTATCCAAGATTGATATTTCCCAAAAGAAATGTTTTAAATTTACATGTCAGGCTCTTTATCCTGAATTCCCATGTTCTTTTGTACTAATCTTTGGAATCCTTTCTAAGAGAAGTTGATTTTTTTTAATACTATCATTTAGATGAAATTTTTACATGAACTATTGAAATTTTGAACCAAAGAAAATATTTTCTTAATATGCCAGCTCATGTTTCAAAACTGATCATACTTACAACTTTTCAGATAATTTTTGAAAAGTTAGATAATTATTTATACAAACAAATGATTCTCTGGAAGTCATGATAACATGTTAAGAACTGTTCCACCATGTTTAAGATGTTCTTAAACATCTCTCCTTCTTATCCTCCCCAACACAAAAAAGGATAAAAATCACTTCATTCACAAACACACAAATGAAACATTTAACTCAACTATTCCTTGTGTGAAGAATTTTGGTAATATTTTACACTTACATCTGCATCAAAGTGTTTAATTTCTTTCAGAATATTGGGAAACCTAAAACTCCAGTGTAATACTGGCCGTCGGCAGTGTCTATAAAGGTGTGAATTATCTTCCAGTAAATCTTGTGAAAGTATATTATAGGACATCACTGAAAAGTCAAACTTGTTCTCACTGTCTTCACATTGGGGGTCAACATTTTCATCTCCTAGGATCTTCGTTTTTTCTTTTTTATGGTTACATATATATTCCCAATTCCTTTTGATCATGCCTGTTAAAATACATTGGACAAAATAAGAATTAGTAAAAACTTTATTTAAAATGCTATTTAAAAATTCCTATAATGAGTCAAATGTTTTCTCCCTAAAAAATGGCCATATAGCACTAAATAACTAGCAGATGTCATAAAATAAATTGCAAAGGCAGCAAAATGCTATACTGACTAACACATATACAAATTTAAAAGGATCTACAAGACATTCTGAAGGCTAAGAGTATGTGCTAATGAAGTTAATACTATACAGGGGTTGTGGTTTCTTACTTCTCTATGGTTAAGAATAGTTTGCCACAGACAACTATAATGGTGTATTTGTATGTCACAGTTGGCTTTTCAATGAGATGATTTCATATTATATTTTATTCCCTATTTAGTAAAATAAAATCAACAAATGATTAAGTTCCAGAATAACTCTTTAGTTCAGAATTCTGGTATATATATGAATGAAGGTTACATAATGGCAATACAGGGAAGTAGTACTTAGTATCTAAAACATTGTAGGGGAACAATGAAAACAAAATGAACAAAATACCAAAGTAAAAGCTAAATGTGATTTATGGAAGGCTAGTAGATAATGGCTGGTTGACAAACATAGCATGCAAAAACCAGGAATGTGTCATAGTTTTTATTCCGCAAAGACATAACATACTCTGAAAAAGCAATGAGAGAATAGAAAAGCATGAGATTCTGCATTATAGATAGTCCTTGACTTAAAAATGATCACCATTTATGTAGTGTCCCTCACCGCACCATTAAACGGGATACTCTTACTGCCATGGAAGCTATGAAGAAAAATTTGGAACTTTTAGAGATCTAACTATGAGCTCAAAAGGAAGAAGAAATAAAGAATGGGAAGAAAATATAGTAGGAGATGGACTTCCAAGCATGATTAGATTATATGAAAAATCAGCCCTAGAATATCTTCTTCTACTCTACATGAACGTTTTCACTTTGCTGGATTATAATGCCTAAAATCCTACCAATTAAAAATTAAATTGAGGTTAAAATATCCTATAAATTTATACATGAAGTGAAAATAAAATTAAAAGGAAATACACTAGTATTTTTGTAAATAGTTATCTTTGAGTAGTAGGATTGTGACAGAATTTTCCAAATCTACAATAATTATCTATTTACCTCAAAATACCAATATACCACAAAAAACTGCCAATAAATACCTTCTGGTAAATTAATATAAAATAATAATACCTTCTGGTTAATTACTTTAATCAGACTGCTTTCCTCAATATCTAAGTATCTGATGCACTGAGGGGACAGAAATTTTGACCAGAGGACACAAGAAGATAACTAGTATGACTAGTGCAGTCTGGAGGGAACAAAGGAATTGGAGACTTATGATACCATGAACATATTAGGAGAAGGGTAAAGGAAAAAAAAAAAGAGGAAAGAAACAAAACCAAACTAAATGAAAGTCCTCAAGTATTCCATAATTTTACATGGAGCTTGTCCTATGCACAGAAAAGGGAAGAAAATTATTCTTTTCTCTATCCTTCACCAAACATGCAGAAACCTACCTCAAAAGGCTCAGTACTAGGGCTAATTATACTACCTCCACAGAGCTACTTATAGATTTATAGAACACTATTCATAAACTGGGGTTAGTCTATGATGGTTTTAGCCACCAATCAGTCTTCAAATGTATACAAATGTATATGAGATGGAAAGGGCTCTAGTCATGCAAACAAAATGTAAGCTATCATCATAAATAAAGCACTATCTTGGTCACTGCCATATGAAAATAGGAAAGATGAGGGTCTAAAAAATGTGTTTGCAGTTCCTTATTAAATATATGCACATAATGGCATATAAATGCTTTAAGACTTTTACAGTCCTGGTAATCAATTTGTAAATCAACTTTTTTGCAATTTTACTTTTAAATAACCAGGACCATTCAATTATCTGATTAATACAGTGGCTTTCAAACTTTGATAGCTTGTAGAACCTTCTGTCATTATTTTTTGTCATGGAACACCAATCTCTGGCATAATGGGACTAGGAATGTGATGATAGAGTAAACACACATTTTATTTGCTTTTAATAAAAGTACATAAATGTGTTTCAAGTGCTAGGGTTCCATGGAAGACAATTTGAAAACCACTGACAGAGTGGATAGTCTTCGACCTTTATATACTTCACAACATAAATTCACACTGCAAAAGCTTATATACCTTCCATGTCAGGAGGAACAAGATGATCACAGCAGAGAAGATAGATGAATCAAAGAAAGTAAGCAATAGGCCTGATCAGGTTTTTGGGCTGCCTAATTAAAATATCATAATTGTATCACACAAATCCTTCAAATACCACTTTAAAGTGATAGGCAAGTTAGCAATGCTGTTCTCTTGATTGAAAAGTATTAGTGAAATATCGGAAGTCACAAATATGGCTTAACGAAGAGCCTTTTCCTTATTCACAATACCTAGGAAGAATGGACATATAAAGAGTCAGGTTGCAATCAAAGATTATCAGTATGTAAATGTAATTCCCCATCCATTAAAGGGAAAACAACACCACAGTTTTCTGAGTACCTACAATGTAGCCAACAGTGTGGTAGGCACTTTGACATGCCTCATTTCTTCCACAACAGACTTGCAAGGTAAGCATTACCTTACATTAGGAATCTAAGGAGCAAGGAGTTTCAGTAATCTCTCCACGTTCACACAATCAGTGGTAGAGTAGAAATGAGGGCAGGGAGTGGTTTCTAAGTCCATGCTAATGTCAAATGTCACTATGCCACTGCTCTGAGAGCTCACCAAATTTATAAGAGGATAAACAGCAGAGAAGTGTATGTTAACCTGATGAACAACAAATATATAAATGAAAAGCAATTCAAGGTCATCATATAGACCTGGACTTAGATAATGATCCGTTCTTAGGAACCTGATTCTAATGCCTTTAAATATGCCTTCATTCATTCAAATAAATATCTCTTTATCTTCACATGTAATAATTTAGTACACAGATTTTCACTTTTGAGGGATTACAATTTCTGTTTCTCGACCCCCCACAGTAGGTTCTTTGCAACTATATGATAACAAATTATACATTTACTTGGATATTAGCTGGACCTAGAATCCAGCTTAAGCCTGTATACTGCTTTTGTGTAATAAGGGCAGAGAGAACTCAAAAGAGTACTAACTAATCAATTCTTCTAACCCCGATTTCTGGGCAAAACTCACTCAATGTCTTGCTCTGAAAAACTTGTATGTCATCTCCTTCCATGTTAACACCCACACAAGGCCACGTTCAAATATCTTCAAAGGAATTATCTTCACTGAAAACTATGGTTCAATAAGAAAGACAATTCCAAATTCTACTTGACACTTCCTTTATATTTTCAGGAGGTTGGAGTAGGGTTAGGGTATTGTGTAGGGCTGGTGACAAAGAGGGAGCCTAGTGAACTGTTCAGAAGAAAAAAAAATATGAGAAAAATAGACCTAATCAACGTATTTGAAAAAAATGTTTCCTCAGAGTTGCATAAGATATAGATCCCTTTCTAAAAGATATTTCTGACTGACTCAATTTTGTAGATCTGTTTGAGAAGTACAGATTTAATAAACTAAAACCTCACTCTGTAAGAAACTGTCTTTCACTTACAATTTTTTCCTTCCCCCCTTCCCCCCGTACTAGGGACTGAACCCAGGAAGTTCTACTACTGAGCTACATCCCCAGACCTTTTGATTTTTCAACTGGAGATAGGGTCTTGCTAAATCGACCAGGCTGGTCTCAAAGTTGTGATCCACTTGCTTCAGTTTCCAGAGTAGCAGAGATTACAGTATATACCACCAGGCCAACTTCACTTTCAATTATTTCTTCTTAAAAATAATCTTTTTATATTTAAAAGCTAGTGTTAAAAATGAAAACTAAATTGATTTTTTTTTTAATATCTGTGACTTCCAAGAATACACCCACCAATTTCTAATTCCTGAAAGGCCTTCTGTTTCAAAAACACTGGATGTGAAAATTATTCTTAAATTAAACTTAGTGTTTTAATCTATTTCTCCACTCTTTTTCAACTGTATTTTGTCTGAAATTTCTTTTTTTTTTTCAGCCAGAAATACACAAGTAACTGGAAAAAAAAAAAACAAAAAAAAACTTCACTGTAAAAAGATTTATTTTTTCCTAATAGAAAACTACTGGCTAAAAATAAACACCAAACATCTCTAAAATCTGTAGATTTAAATATTACAAATAAAAGTGTCAACTTAGTCTATAATAATTTATATCTATTCCTTCACCAAGATAAATGTCACTTTTACCTTGGTGTTTTCTTCGTTTTGATGAAGGCTCATCTCCCTCAGAGTTCATGATGTAACTAGAGAGATGAATCAAAGAGGTCTGGCTCAGGTTGTCAGGTCTCCAGTTACTGTACTGAAACTGAGTTCTAGACTCAAATAAACAAGGTGGTCTCCAATTTAGTGAAAAATGCCTACTACTGAAGTATGGGTAAGGAGCACGAGAATAATGTCCAGGCCACCTCATACAACTAGAAATATGTCTGTTCCAGCAACACCTTTGCAGATTCTCCCACGGTGTAGTCCAGTCTCTGCCCAGACTCTTCGGGTGATGGGAAAACATGGGGTATCTAAAAGAAATAAATACACTCCTTGAGGCACCACTTTTTGTTCAGCTATAATACACAAAATCTAAACTTAATTCCTCAAGGGAAGATAACATCTACTATTTAAAATCTGACTTCTATATCTGTGAAGGATGAAAGGAAAAGCACGCATGGTTTAGCTATGAGCATCAATACCTCAATACTTTCCCCCTAAACAACCACGAATGGTATTCTAAATACTTAACAAGAAAATGCAACCTCAGCTCCCAAAATGCCACAAACGCTCCCAAAATGTCCACAGTCCAACTAAGAGAGTAATCAACCATCAAACTAGAATTCAGAGTAGCTCTCTGGCACCAAACTCCATAGAAAAATAAAATCCACAGCAAACATAATACTTAATCAAATATGGAACACATATTAGACTGCAATTGAAGCAAATCTCTCCTCCAACTTGGATTTGGAGAAAAAAACATGTTTCTGAACAGGTTTTTATACTAAGGTAGATTTTTCCAAAACACTTGTAAAGCTAAGAAAACAAGCCTATCACAACCTTACAAAACTACTTGCCTTGCGCATCAGTGGGTGGACAACTTATTTTTACATTCTTCTTGGGGGAAATTAAAGAGGGTAAAGATCACGTACTAGGAATCACTCAACAGCACTTCAAGCCCAACAGCATCAATTTAACCTATCATCCAAAGTATCTCCAAAGTAGTGCTAAGATTATCTTTGATATGTTGCTCTCAAGCTCTAAAAAAAAAAAACACACTGGAGCTAAGTACCATCTTCTTACTCTTAAAGTTGAAAAAAAAAAGTTAGGATTCAGAGGATTTCTATCCTTGCCTCTGGAATTCAATATAAGTACATTTCTCAAAATACTGTCAATAATGTTGACTTTTATGTTATTTTTCATTTTAAGAGCATAAATGCTGTTTATGTGGTCGCAAACTGTTCTCTAACAATCAACCTAATTGTACATCTTTAAAGACTTGACACGTGCACTCTGTCCTGTTTTGTGATAATTTTTTAAAAAAATTTTTATACTTATTTTTTAGTTGTAACTGGACACAATACCTTTATTTCACTTATTTATTTTTATGTGGTGCTGAGGATCGAACCCAGGGTCTCGCATGTGCGAGCGCTCTACTGCTGAGCCACAACCCCAGCCTTGTGATAACTCTTGAAAGCCAAAGGTATTTGGGCACTTGGTCTCTGCATTTCCTACCTCTCTAAGCTACTATAATAAAACTTAAAACTTGGACTACAACATGTATTCTCTGTATTTTTAATTATTTAACGCCTTTTTCTCTTAAGATATTGAGCTCCTTCAGGGCCAGAATCTTCTTACTCATTTTTAAGCCGGTATCTTCACAAGTGCCTAGCACAGTGCCTGGCATACAGCTGGTACTCAGGAAACATTGTTGAACTGAATTGCCATCAAGTCCCAGGCCCACAGGAGTTAAAACCAGACCCTCATGACTTTTGTGATAATTAATAGTGATGTGCATCCCACGCGTGGTACACCAGTCGGTTTAAGAGAGTACACAATTAAATCTTCTGATTTGCAACATATTATTTTAGTTTATTAGGAATAAAAGTAATCCCAGGATTTCGCGGGCACGAGTAAGGGCGACGCTAATGTAAGTAGCGCCTACTTCAGTGCTTTTTAATTTTTTTTCTTCTAAGTACGCCAATTGAAAGAAAACATCCAGTCAACACCACGGCTGGAACGAGAAGTTGGCTATAACCGTAAAGGTTGGTAAGAAAGCGACCCAAGTTTGAAAGATGCTAACATACCAATAACCAACCACCCCCCAGGCGTGTGCCACGCACCGCCTCCCTGGAGGTCAGGCCCGCCAGGACCTGCTGCGGACAGGCTGCCAGTCCCGGGTCGGGCCGCGGCGTCCGGGGAGGCAGAGGCCGGCTTGGAGGCTGAGCCAGGGAGAGGGCCAGGGCGCCGAGGCCAAGCCGGGTCCGGAAGGCCCGCGCCTTCCCGGAAGGCGGCCGACGCGCTCGGCACCCGGACCCGGCGGCCAAGCGTCCCGCCGGCCTGGCGCCGGGTTTACCTATCCCTTTGGGTCTCCGGAGGAACCGTCCCGGCCGCACCATCTCCCAGACCCTCTTCCTCCTCCGCCTCCCCAAGCCCGCCCCGCCCCGGGCTAACCTGGGCCGCCCGCCCCTTCCTCCTCCCTCGGGTCACCCAGCCTTACTGACCGGCCTCTCCCCACCACACAGCGGCCGTAGCCCCTCCTCATACAACGCCAAGCTTCCATCTTCTTCCTCAGCCGTCGTCCAATTCCCAGGCCCAGGGCTCCACCTGAACCTTTACGACCTACTCGGCGGCTTAAGGCACCACGGGGCCCCCATCACTCGAAGTCCCGGTTCCCGGCCCGGCTGCAATGCATGCTGGGAGCGGCAGTCTCGCCGCCGGCCATGTCTCCATCCTGCCCAGTGAATCCCTTTAATTCTTACACACGAATTGTGCTCAAGGAGCATGCGCAGAGGATGGAAGCTTTGCCAGCCATATCCGAACAGGGCAAAATTCCCGACCTCCGTCTTAAAGAAACAGAAAGAAAGAAATGACTGGATTGCTTTATTAAGACCCGTGGGCAGGTGCACCGTTGTTACTGTATGAGAGCTAAGAAGGAAAATAAAAGTTATTTTATCGTATTTTTAAAATGTAGATATTCAAAAGGTGAATGCCCAAGTTGAGGAAATACCCTCTCAGTTCCCATGAAACGAGGGTACCACAGATTTTTGGCAACTAATTTTGTGGAAACACCACCCACATAACTATAGAACTCACTTTTAAATGTGTATGTGTGTCTTGAATGCTCATCTGTATCAAATATAGTAGGACTCTAGATTCTTGGAAAACATGAAAAGAGAGATTGAGAATAAAGTGGGGAGAGAGGAGGAGAAAGGCATACTAGAAGGTAAGATCAGTGGTGTTTCATAGGCTGTTGGAGTGAAGTTGTTTCTTGGAAAACTTTTTTTTTCTTCTTGTGTTACTTTTAAGAATAATTTTCCCTCAGTATATAGTTGATTCTCATCATTAATAGTAGTTAGATTCTATCATCAATTTGCACAAACACTGAATTAATGTATACTACGCCATTACTATTTAGGGAAATACAGGGTTAGGTTTCTGTGTGACTTCAATTACATTTTCATCAACTAATCAATACCTAATCTTGTTTTATTTGTGTTTCTATTTAAAGATCCTTATTTAATATTGTTAATTCATTAACACTGAACTAACTCAAGGCCAACAGCAGTTACCCCTAAACAAAGTTTATCTAACAGAAATATTTTCTCTGTAAATTATATCACAGGCTTCTTGCACTTAGGAAAATTTGACAGTGAAATCTGCTAAGGCCTACACACACAAGGCCATGAGTTCCTTAACTTGTCTTCATGGAAAAGCCTTCAGGCCATTCATTAATGATTATTGTTTGGAAGCAGCTTTTCAAGAATGACGAGCTGAAAGCCAACTCTGCCATCAGTGATATCCCTAGCACAGACCATGACTTCCACTGAAACTGAACTGGCCCCTTCTTTTCATCCAACCCACAAGCAGATTTACCCCTTTAACTTTCTATAAATCCTCTCATTACCAATAGAGGGAAGGCAGATTTGAGCTCTCAGCTCCTAACCTCCTTGCCAGTTGGCTGCACAATAAAGTGTCTTCTTTTTGCAAAAACCTGGTGCTACAGCATTGGCTTCTCTGCATGTAGGGCAGCAAGCCCATGCCCAGTAACAATAGCACTAGCTTTGGGGACCATTTTTTAACAGTATATTTTAATCAATAAAGATGTGGAAAGGGCGGGGATTGTGGCTCAGCAGTAGAGCGCTCGCCTAGCACGGGCGGGATCCGGGTTCGATCCTCAGCACCACATAAAAATAAAGGCATTGTGTTGTGTCCATCTATACCTAAAAAATAAATATTAAAAAAAAAGATGTGAAAAAATGGCACTAGATAGACTGTGATAGGACACTTGTTTATGTATGAGAACTGAAACAAGAAGGCAGAGTGGGCCCTCTTCAGCTGCAGATAGGAACAGGCACTTTTCACTGATCTGTATATGCCTGAGAATAAGTGCAAAAGCACTTTGAGTATTGATTTTGGAATTACAAATAAATTTTAGGGTAGTATACATTTGCAAATACAGAATCCACAAATAATGAGGATCAAGTGTACTTCTGTTTCATAGTGTCCTATTTTCTAATTGTACCCACAATTTTGCTGTTCATTACATTTGAGTAGCGGTTCAGTATAGACATCCCCAGCCCTTTTTTTTTTTTTTGTATTTTATTTAGAGACAGGGTCTTGCTGAGTTGCTTAGAGCCTCACTAAGTTGCTCAGGCTGGCTTTGAACTCACGATCCTCCAGTCTTAGCCTCCCGTGTTGTGGGATTATAGGGATATGCCACCATATCCAGCTAACATCAATTTTAAGCAAGGGCCATGACCTGCTATTTTCAAAATTTATCTGACTTAGTGCTGTGCTAAGTGCTCAAGATGGTAGACAAAATATTCTTGAATGAATGGTGAACACTGAGTGAGAGTTAGAAAAGACCTGTGAATAACCAGAATTTTTTTCCTTTAGTACATCCTAAAACCTCTGGCTTATTAGGTTGTTTGTTTGTTTTTGTTTATTTGTCAACTCAAGAATTTAATGCTTTCTGGGAAAGAGAACACGTCTTTGATATCTAGACTGGTGAGTTTTTGTGTATTGTCTTTACACTTGATTCATGGCTGAAATTGTACACTTGAAGCCATAAACTCTCCATATATCTGTGTGTGCCTGTAATTCATAAAGAACTTTCCCCTCATTATATGAGTGTGGGATGTTGTTATACCTCTGGAAAAAGTTACACACTGTATTTTACTAAAGGAGCTCTGTTTGTTCTGATTGACTTGTAGAAATAAATAAGGATTTATATAAATTTAATGCCTAAACTTACCTGAAAATAAGGGAGTAAAATTTAAATGTAATTTTGTTTTGGTGGTCCTGGGGATTGAATCCAGGGCCTCATGCATGGTAAGCAAGCATTCTACCACTCAGCTGTTTTTATTTTATTTTATTGAGACAGGGTCTAAGTTGTCCAGACTGGCCTTGAACTTGTGATCTTCCTGCCTCAGCCTCCCAAGTAGGTAGAATTATAAACATGAGCTGCTGTACCCAGGCTTAAGTGTGATGCACTTTAAAGAAAACCATATTATTCTTATAGAAATGTCTCAGAAATGTTTTATGACCCCAAGTTCACATAACTAAGGTCAATCTCTGATAAACAGGCAATTTCTTTTTTGATATAGTTTAATGTTACTAAGAAATGGGTTAGGAAGAAAGATTGATACTTCAGAATACCATCCCTCCATAATTGCACACTCAGCCAGGGAATGAGGCAGTGAAGAAGGGTCGTCAATTAAACCTCAGAGCTCTACTAAATGGAAACTATGTGTTTTAGACAAGCAAATAGAGATTCATCTCGTATTGAGGAGATTGCTTAAGAGTTTATGAACTTGAGTCCACTGGACTGGGGTATAAGTAGCCAATATGTCTACTTATGAGTTAAACAGACTTCATCGTGTCTTTCATCCAGAAGGGCTGACGATTGAAAGGAAATAGAAGTATTCCAGAGCTCAGATTTCTATGAAACACAGACATCCTGGATACCCTGTGGGAGTTGTTCTTGGCAAAAACTAAAGTAGGTAAAACTGTCCTCTCTTACCTAGAACTTCCAGGGCTGATTATGGAACAGAGAGGAGGCTGAGAAATGCAGTGGAATGAATTCAGTGTCTCCCTTCTTGAAGGATAAGCCACTAGGGGAAGCAATTTTCAGAGTGTGACAGAAGTACAAAGAACCTCATTAAGGAGCTATCAGAATGTGGCAGAAGAGAAAATAATACTCAAAATATGAATTTGAGCAAAACCAGAGAGACAATTTACCTGAAAATTGCTTTTCAAATCCCTAAGCAGGAAAGTGATCATCTCAGTTGTCTGGTTTGGGACATCCAGAGTGGATCAGCAAACAAGGCAGAGTCAGGATTATGACAGAAAAAGAAAAAAAAAAATCAGAGTGTATGCAAACAGAAATATTTAACTTTGACATACTTGCATAATGTCTTCATTAGTTTCTAGAAGGAAATAATCATAAGGTAATGCCATATCAGAGCATAGCACTTGCAGTCCCAATTTAAATAATCTAGATATTACAGTTCCATTTCTATACCAGGTGGCCTCCAATAACATTTGTAGTCAAGAGTCACTCATTCGCTAGCATTACTGGGTTCAATCCTCAGCACTACATAAAAAATAAGTAAAATAAAGTTATAATAAAAAATATTCATTCACTCAACCTTACTTATAGGCCTTATGTTCAATCTCCAGCATTGAAAAACAAGAAAGATTAATTTACTCATTCATTTATTCACTCTATAGAAACAGTGATATTACTGACTTAGCTTGCTTTGTCCCATTGCATGAACAGCATCCAAGGGAACTTGGCATGCATGCAAGGTAGCAGCTTTCTACAGGTAGCGAGAACATGCCCTAATTCCCAGTGTACACGAGAGAAAGTTAATGTCCTTCAAGAGAAAAGTGTCTGGACATTCTAGCCCAGACTCATGTACTTGATGAGGTTCTTGGGAACAGAGAGGGGCATTTCAGGAGCATGGTGTTTTACTGTCCACATTTTCTCCATCCCCGCATTTCTCCAGGTGTACTTACTTTACTAAATTTGGCACTTTTTATTTTCACACATTACATTATATGTTCTTATGTAGATAAGTATTCCAAATATATATAATGTTTTTATGTAACATTTTAAAACTATCATATTCTGTATCTTTTA